AATTTGAGATGCAAAACATAAAGCAAGAACGGTGCACATTTATTAATATTTGATCAAAATTTGTGAAAGAGAATTCTATCTTTTGCTTCACTGCTTTTGTTAGCCCTTGAAAATAAATTTGGTAATATAAAATATAATATAATAATATTATAAAAATATAATATAAAAAAATAAAAGTGATAGGATTTAAAATTTTAATAATAATTATATAAGTTTAATAAAATTAAAAAATATATTTTATATTTTTATGTCAACATGAACTATAACACATAATTTTATATAAAATATTATATAATTATATAAATTTTAATAATTTATACCATATAAATACATAAATCATCAAATATTCTTGAATCCCATAACCAAGACAAAGATGACAAATGCATCCAGCCATCAAGATCAAGGAAGGGCTATCCTTTGGTTCACATGACCAAAACTTGAAGAAAAAAAAGTTCAATGATTTGCAGGCTTTCAAATTACAATTTAGCAATGGCCAATTTTTAAAAGATTTTTTTAATCACAAATTACTAACCGGAATGAATTTTTTTATTGATTTAGTAAAGTGGGAGAATCTCAACATCACTCTCGAATCAATCTTCTTCTGTACCAAACAATTTGGCCTATCTCAGAGGAAAAAAAAAAGATAAATTTGTTCATGAAGTTGTAATTAATAAAACAAAGTATAGAGCTGTCCCCTCCCCACAACATTCCCTGAGGCCCCACGGGAACCGGTGGCACTTGAAACTTCCATGAGCATAACTGACCAGAGTTTCTTGTTTCTTTAAAAGAAAAAAAAAAAAAGAAAAGAGAGATTGGAATTTGGAATGAAATATTCTTTTTAAAGACCCATGAATGACCAGGAAACCTGGCCTCACTGGAATTTTCCATGCACTGAGGACCCAATTCCCAGGTTTGACTCTCTCCAGTAATTTCTTCTCACTCTTCCCTACTTTAGGTCAAGTGGCCCATGGTATTAATACCATATGGATATAAAATATATAATCTCTTCCTATTTATATATTATTGGTAGATGTGTGTTATATTAATATCTATATCAATTTAATTTGGTTTCAACTTAAGATCAAATTATTAAGGATAAGACTCCAAAGAAAAAAAAAAAGGATGGAGAAATTGTGTAAATTGGATAGGGCAAAATTATCATAACGAGTGCTGTTTTTGTTTGTTTTGTTGAGTAAAGTTTCATGAAATCATGATCATTCTGATTTCATGTGATTTTGCCTCTTTGATTCATGGGTGGATATAAAAGTCTAAAACAGTATTATATGAATTTTTCTTGATTAAGCAACCTTTTCTCGATGCAAGGGACTGTAATAAACTGTGATTAACTCATTTTAGAGTCCTATATCTCTTTAGTTTATGACAAAAATCTCAAAGCCAAGTTGGGCCATCATGAACCATGCCATAGCATGTGCTCGCTTGTTCCCACATGCATGACCTAATAATATCAAGCTTTTGAACAGTCATCACCGTCCACACAAAAAAAAAATTACAAATTTTGCAAATGCAAGTACAGGAGGGTACATGATAGATAAGTCATCAATTGGAATATATGGTCTTGGAAAGAATCCATTCACGTTCTCCCTTGGGCATCATAATCTTTACATATACTACTACTTTTTATATATACATTTTTTCTCTAATAATTAACAACATAAATGCTGAAAATAAAATTAAAAAAAAAAACTCAGTTGGACACCCCAAGAGTTTTATAAACCTAGCTCTCGGTCATCTAAAAGATCATATTTACCACTGTTTAATGGAATAATTCATGTTTATTGAGAGGGAAAATGGGTACTTTTGTTCATCATTGAACTCAAAGTTAGTGGTGTGCCCAAATAAGTGAATAATACGATATATTAAAAAAAAAAAAAAACTAAAATAGAGAGTGAGATATTTGTCTGCACATTGTTTGGTGTGCATAGTTGGCTCGGATTTGATGCTTTGGTCCCCCAAACCCTCTCTCTCTCTCTCTCTCTCTCTCTCTCTCTCTCTCTCTCTTGTTCTCATCACTCAATGCTCAAATGCAGACTACCCTCTAACGTGCGCGTTGCGTTACTTTCATGTTTGCCAATTTGGAATCTCTTGTCCAGACGTGGTGGAATAGTGACCGACTGGAGTGTGGGTGGCTAGTAGGACCCAATTCCCCCGATTCCCATATTTATTTCTACCCCACCGCTAACGGCTGTAGCTCCCTCTCTCTTTCTTATTTCTCCACGTTATATATATAATAGTCTTCCAAAGACAAAAATATCAGCCGATTAAGGCACCCAATGGCCATCTTAATCGAAAAGAAGAGCCAACGACAAATAAATAAGATTTTCATTTCAAATAATAAAGTCCATGTAATTTTGTGGCAAGTAAACAAGAAACGTCAGAGATGCATGGAGATCATTGGTGCGCTGTTCAGGATAACCAGTGGGTGGGTTAAATTGGGGATGTGTCACATCCTTGCCCGCCCCTCATTTTTTTCCAAGTTGACAATTCATTAATTTTTTGTTAGTATATATTAATACTACATGGAATTTTTCAATATATAACTTGTTTAAGATTGTCTTCTGTGATTGTTTTTTCTTTGCCCTTTTCTGTTTGTTTTTCATCCAAGTAAGATTTCCCTAGTTCATCAATTATTGTTATGTTCTCATTTTGTTCAAACGTATACAAATCTGCTTGAACCGATTTGAAAATAAAATATATTAAACAAAACTCAAGATCACTTTATCACTTAAAAAAAACCCTCTTTCTATATACGTCACAACATTTTGATCCAGGTCAAATAGATACTTATCCCAAAAACTTAACGAATTATATCATATCATTACCTAACTAATTATTATAATTGATAGATTGATTATCACATCAAATTAATTAAAGAGCATGTTTGGAGAATAAGGTTTTCTCTTGTATGGTAATGAGAGTGAGATCCAAGCTTAATTAAGACCTCTCAAATAGGTACATGAGTTATGATTATATACCAAATTAAGGAATCCCCAAAATTAATTAACTACTTTTCCAATGAGAAAATATATATGAAAGGGATGAGATCATTCTTATACCAATATTTTTATGTTTACTTGGGTAATATTTGGTTTTATCTTATTGTATGCAAACAGTCTTGTCTTCAATAAGTTTGAATTAATGTAATATTTTAATGACTAGATATCTTTCTTCCAATTCTCTTTGATGAAATGATTTTTGCGATAAAGTATAAATTTATCGATCTATTTAAGAGTAGTTTAAATTTATCGTTAATTTTTAAATTGATGTGATGTTATCACTATACTTTAAATTAAAAATATTATCATTATATTTAAATTTTAAAATATTAAAAATATTGAGTAAAATTTTGCAAAAAAAAAAAAAAAACAAAAAAAAGTACTCATAATTTACATATTTTATTTTCCAATAGTAACATGGCTAGCAGACAGTTTCAGCTCATAATTAAGTTGTAAATTTTAGTATTTAATTAATCAATATAAAAAAAATTATTTTATTTGATAAAGGGACAGAGCCTTACAATAAGAGAAGGGGAGAGGTTGGGGTCGAACCCCAACCTTAGTGTGTTCTTAAGGCTTGCTTGGCCACTAAACCAAGAAGCTAAAGACCCAAAAAAAGTTTTTGTAAATAGTAAAATGGCAGTAATGTAACATTTACCATAGATCAAAGTTTTTTCTTTGAGAAAAGGGAGACTGCGCAAGAATAATGATGGGGTGTTAGGGAGATGAGAAGATCCCTTGAAATGCTAGAAAATCCAATTGTTCCCTAAGCTTATACTTTGCCTTTTCTTTTATTTTTTCTTCCTTTATCCTTATAATTAAGCTGAGCTGCCCACCACATGGCCCTGCTACTCTTGTTTACTCTGACACCATTAGCGGTTTCCTTTTTCTCTTAAAAAACCAACAAAAAGGAAGAAGAATGGAAGTGTTGTGGAACACAGCAAAGAAAGAGCCATCGAGAATAAAGCGTTTTTGAGTCTGAGATCGATATAACAAATTGTTAGAGACTTTCCTTCTTTCCTTCCTTCCTTCCACATGGACCTCCTCTCGTCGCTTTCTCTTGGAATTTTCAAATTCTCTTTAACAATTTGCTTCTATTCCTTTCACTACACACACACATACATATATATATATATATATATATCTCTACACAACTCTTTGCTACCACCAAGAGTCATACATTCATCACTAATTGACCGATTGATCGTATAATAATTAAGGTGTAATGATAGTAAAATTTTTGGGGTTTAATTTACTTATGGCCCTCAAATGGAGGAGTAGATTTTTTATTCAACTTTTAACGCCAAACCTAATTGGCGTCATCGATGGCCACATTGTGCATATAATGATGTCCCATCAAAGATCAAAGACTGCATTGATTTGCGCCATTGGATCAGGGTACAGATTTCTTGTTGATCAAAGTCACCGTACAAAACATAATAATAAATTTTCTCTTTCCTATATGTTTTCAAACTTCATTTTTTTCTTGCCGTAGGTGCATGAAATTTTTATACCTTATTATAGTATACAAAATAATGAAAATATTAATTGGTACTATATATAATAATGATGAAATAAAGTAAAAGAAGTGGGATTTGCTGCTCTATTGGGGAATGGGGCACTAGGGATTCCCTCTCCCTATATACAAAGGAATGTTACGAATAGTGATGTGGAATAGCCTCATGTTCTTTCTTTTCTTGAACTTCTCAAGATTCATTTCTTCTGCTGCTTTACCTCTCTGTCTTCTTCTTGGATTTTGAAAATTTGACCTCCATGCATATATTCTCTTTCCTTTTTTTTTTGTAATTTTTTTTTATTTTTAAATTATAGACCAAACCCATCACGTGAAAATTTGATTAACAAATCAAAAATTGTAATGCTAATCACATATACTCTGTATGTCATAGTAGTACTATTTGAACCCCATCAAACAAAGATTCACGTCGTCACCTGCTCTTTGTCTGTTTACCCTTTGTTTCAACGAGTCCTTTGGGAGAAGAAATGTTGAGTAACTGTGAGAAGATGGTTGTCATCTCTTCAACTACTAACGAATGGCCTCAGGTTTTTCACACACACACACACATTCTCTCTCTTTCTTTCTCTCTCTCTCAATCAATTATTAGACCAAACGTGACCCCATTTTTGTTGCTTTGCTTTTGGAAAAGAATATTTATGTTGTGTTGTTATTTTACCCTAAGAACACCTCATTCAACTCTTTCTTTTGGTTTCTTCCTTTTTTTTGTGCCCTTTCTCTGGTTGCAGAATCATATAGATGAGAAAGACTTGATGGCGTCAACAGGTAGGCTTATGGAGAAACCAAGACAAGAACAACAACCACAACAACATCAACAGCATCAAGCCCTAAAGTGTCCTCGCTGTGATTCTTCAAACACTAAGTTCTGCTACTACAACAACTACAGTTTATCACAGCCAAGACATTTTTGCAAGGCTTGCAAGCGTTATTGGACTAAAGGGGGCACTTTAAGGAATGTTCCTGTGGGTGGTGGATGTCGGAAGAACAAGCGTGTCAAGAGACCTGCTTCAGCTATTGATGGAGCTTCTCCAACTTGTGGTGCAAATCCTAACTCTCCATCTCAACCTCAAATCGATGTCTCTTCAACCTCAAGTCATCATATCAACCCTTTGTTTTATGGGTTAGCTAATAACCCTTCTGATATTAATCTTCCATTTCCTCGTTTTAATTCAAGAGTTTCAGGTGTCGAAACTGTCACAGGCTATGATCTCCAGCCTCAATTGAATGCTCTTGGATTAGGGTTTTCTTCTGGGACTGTGTCTAGTGATACTGGGGATAGTGATTATCGAAATGGTTTTAATGCAAACCCAACAAATCCACTCCTTTCAAGCTATTCCAATATCTTTGGATCCTCATCTTATAGCACCACCACTACACCGACCATTGCTTCTTTGTTAGCTTCTACTCTTCACCAACACAAATTCATGAATGGGAGTACTAAAAATACTCAAGCGCCTAACCATTTCCAAGCCTTAGCACCTTTTCAAGGTCTGCACATGACTAGTAATAGTGAAAATGGGTTAACGATGAAAGATATCAAAGCTGAAGAAGCACAAAGCAGAATGGATTGGATCAATGTACCAAACCATAATCAGCTCGAGCAAATTGGTTTGTCTGATCCTGCGGTTTATTGGAATACAATAAGTGTCGGTGCCTGGCATGATCCAGCAAACATTGGGTCCTCAGTGACTTCTCTGATCTAGCAAAACTAGACTTCTTATTCTTCAAATTATCTCCCTCTTTCTTGGTCTTTTCCTTTTCTAGCTACTTAGTTTCGGTTGATTACTACTGTCGGTAGTGGACTCTATAGTCATAGTAGGGTGGGATTGAAAAGAGGCAAAAAAAAAAAAAAAGATCTCTAATAAATTAAAGTTGAGTGTCGAAGCATGGATGGGAGAAGATTGGATCGGAGCGATCATGTCAGCTGCAAGAATTCAGCCTATAGTTTTATTATCAAAGGTTGAGAATCCCTATTTGCGCTGAGAGGAACCTCGGATCCTCTTCATCCTCATCGCTGCAGGTATCATCTTTTTCATCAGTCATCAGTCATCATCACCATCTGAAGCTGTGTTGAAGAGAGAGACTTAGCTCCTTTTGCAGCAACTTTTTAGTCCAGTAAGTTTGGCTTCTATTTTGTATGTATATATATTGCATGACATGTTCTCTTTTTTCCCCTAATGTCTTGCTATTATTAGGTTGGGTTTTTGGGGTATATGTTGCAGTCCTCAGTAAAAGATCATGAGAAACTAATTATTTTTTTCCTTTTTTATTTTTATTTTTTACATTTGTTTTTCATTTTGTGGTTTTGGGGGGTTGGGTTACTTGGGTATAATTAATGGTATAGAAGAGAGGGAGATTTGTACCTGCAAACTGCAATGTGCCCACTTATTTACTGTGATTTGTCTGTTTTACAATTTATTGTTCTTGGTGTCACTGCCTCACTAATTTGGTTGCCTTTTGAAATCAAGAAAACTTTCATTACATTTTTAAACCTTAAAGCTGCTGAGCCAATACTGATATCCACAAATTCAGAATATATAGTATATACTAAACAATATATACAGGAATTATATATCAGTTGTATAGGTAATGTATGTACATATATGTTTAATGTAAGACCTGATGAATTTGTCAACCCAAACTAGGAATAGATTGGCTGTTTGTAGTTTTAGGGATATTGGATTTTAGTACCCTGGCTTTAGTGCATGCGCTGCTCATCCCTTGCTGGTTTAGGGAGTACATTCGAGAGAGTAAAGACTGAAAGAAAGAGCTACAGACATTGAGAAACAGTTGAGTTATGGCAGGGATTTTTAGATAAGAGATTTAGGTCCACCCTTGGATTTTAGCAGCTTGGCCTCATCCAAAGAAAATGCCAATTCCCTTGCCACTTTCTCTCTCGGTGTTTGTGTGTTGTTTTGACTACATGTGTTTTGTGTCTGTGAATTTGTGTTAAAAAGGGAAAAGGAAATATCAAAGAATATGGGGACCTATATGTCTCAGAATCAATTAATACTTCCAATAATAATAAAGTAAATGTTAGATTATTTACTCGTAATTACCATGCATTAGCCATTTTTTATTTGTTTTGATATTTGAGGTTGTTAGAAGTTGAAATTTGATCAGTAAAACTAAGAAGTCAGCATGCTATCAACATTTACACATTTGTTACCTTGCATTAACCATATTCGTTTTCCTATCTACATACACACCACTGTAATCTTTTCTAGATTAAAAAAAAATTACTTCCAATTAATGTATTCAATATATTCACAACTAATGCATTTAATGCTAAAATATTTCTTGAATAGCAGTTAACAAATGCCTCTCTCTCAATTAATTAAAAATCTAAGAAATCATCCCCAGGGAAAAAAAATCCAAGAAATGAGATGTTAAGGTAAACATAGTAGAAGTACACAAAGCAAACTTGAAGTATCATGGAAAGAACTATGCATCATATTCTTGGACTCTAAACCCTACTTTGGTGGTGATATACACTTTAAAAGCTGCAATAAAATCAATACTATAAGATTCTCAACACCTTTTCATAGGAGTACTGCTAATATACTGATTTGCATGCCAAAGAAATTAATGAAATGATAATAGTTGACCTAATGACTTCATTATTAGTATGATTTTTAAATATTTTAAGGTTGTAACGGAATTATGAAAGCATAATTGCATCACAATATCAGTATTAGAAGTTCGTTATTCTGAATTATTAATTACATGCTTTAGATAATCACATCAGCTGAGGGCTTTTCTGGTCACAAAGCCTTGCCTTTTTGTATCTATCTAATAAGACTATGGCTAAATCCTCGGGGAAAAAGTTCAATTACTCCCAAAGAGATATAGATATAAGAATCCTCTTGAAGATAATATGCAAGTGGTTGCTAGTATTACCCAAAAAACTAGGTTTATGTGAATGTTGTGTAGCTGACAAACACTTGATGCATGTATGTCTTAATGCAATTTCAACTAAACTATGGCTCCATTCCCCAATGCCCTAGCTAATTGCCATCTTTATGTATTTGTACTGAAAATAAAGAAATTAAAAAAAGAAAAGATATTAATAGGGCAAAGTACTTAACTTGCTTTGCCGTGTGTGGTATATATATATATATTAGACACAGATTGTGAAAGAATTTTTTTTCTATATGGAGTAATATAGTACTATCTTTTATACTAAATCAACACGTTTTATTTTCGAGCTAGAGTTTTGATTCTGCTCTTGCACTATCCAACTGACTATTGTCCTGGCCTGGTACAAGTTCAAGGCTTTTAACCCTTAATTCTCTATTGTTCTCGCATATTATAAAAAAAAATAGAATGTATTTACTCTATTAAACCATTAAGAAGGGAGAGGTAAATAGATATATATTGTGTGACAGTGGTAGAGGTGATGGAGAAACCATGCACCTGTGGCTAGTAACATGTTCAATTCAATTATAAAGGAAGTGGCCAAACGACAGCAAAAGATCCTGAAGGTGGCGGAGAGGAAGCCATTGGCGGGCCCTAATTGGCTTAACTTGGGAATTTTGTAGTGCCCTTGACAAGATGAGTTAATTAAATTATGGAACTAGACCCTCCTTACAAAGGGTAACAAGCAATTAGTAAATTGTTGTTCGAGTCTGGTACTCTGGTCTGTTTAGTAAAAACTTACCATGAGTTTAGCAAAATCTTTCAGAAAACATTGATTGTGCTTTGCGGCAAATGTGAAAGTAACTACTGATCGATGCATGGTGAAATAATAGTCCGCCAAATGAGGAAAAAAGGGAAACATTCCAACATCAGATTTCTTGCGTTAAATGACCTTCAGCACCATACGTACTCTTCACCCACCGTGCGATCACATTAACGGTTTAAATACATGCAACTTCATAAATACTGCATTTATGTCGCATTTGTATCGCACAAAATTGACGAGCAATTTGAAAGCACAATGAAGATCAAGCATAAATATATGCATAAAATATAGATCAAGATTACGTGAAGCAAAAACAACATTTGAGTATATGTAATTTCATAAATAGCCTAACAACCCTTGATTTTCAACAATTAAGATTGAGTAATTTCTTACACAAAAGTGTAGTTTGTCCAAATTAACTTGAAAAAAAAAAGTGGGACTGCTACCAAATTATTTCTCTGTTTTTAGCAAGGGCAGATTATTGAAAAGACAAATGCGTCGGAATCAAGTTAGCATGATTCGAAGTACTCAATGATCTCCCATTTGATGTAACTCCCAAAAGAGGCTTATCCAATTTGATGTACGGTACAAATTAGAACGGTGCGTCAAGTAATAAAAAGCCTAAGAAATTCATCAGAATCATTTTTATCTACCATACTATATAGTCGGCTGAGCCATTGGCTATAGACTGATGTAGGCTCTGGGAAAGAATGAGCGGGAGTGCTGCTGCTGCTGCTGGCGGGCTGGGCGTCCCAATTGTCCAATTGCTTTCATTGATAACTTGTAGCATACGTTAGGTGTACTGAGTGTCCAGAGCTTGTCCGGGGGGACCAAGTTCGTCTTTTACTACTCCTATCAGCTTAAATTTATTTCAGTTTTATATTTACTTATTACATGTTTCAGAATCCTCAAACTGACAAAACCCCGATCAATAATCCATGAAAAAGCAGCTGACTGTTCGTGGTTGAGCCCATCTTTGCATTAATTCCATGTTACCATACCTCGGCTCTCGAGTTGTAACTTGTAACCCAGTATTTAAAGCTTGAAAGAATGATTAATATATGAAGGGTGAAATGAAGGGAAACAGTAGCAAAGACGAAACGCAAAATATGCCCAAACTTTTATCATATTGGGTCATGCAATTTGGGCTTTTCTTAAACTATAATCTACTGTAGGCTTAGTAATGGCCGAATCTTGAATCAAACAAATACACCCTCATCTCAATTGAGTCTCTTAAGATGAAAACTTATGCGAAAAAAAAAAAAATGAGTTTCTTCTTTTTGACCATTAAACAGTTGGTCTCAAAACCTTTTCCTTAAATAATCTTTTCCATGGCTCAATAGTTTGCAACAAATAATTTCCTTTGTGTTGCTATCACACACGCTTTACCATCTGACATAATTAGGAGACAATTAGACAAAGGATCTCACTCAATTACGCCAAGTTTGGCATTGACAATGAGAGTTCACAAATTTTATTACTAAAGAATTAAAAAAATCCAAATCAGTCTCAATTAAAAGGTTCTAAAATCCACCAACTACATTACCATATAGTAATAATTTAATTTAATTTTATCGAATATTGTATTGCAAGCCTGACCAAATCATTCTTTTGGAAGCCATAGGGAAGAGGACAAGTAGCCCAATACTAGGAAAATTATGGGCAGGACATGAGCAGTAGTTGGGGAATGAATTTAATTATGAGAGAAACTGTGCTCTCATACTCGTCTCCACGCAACTTGAGAGAATATATAACGACTAAGGCAAGAATGCGTGTGGGGAGAGTCGAAAATTTTGGGTCGTAATATTATGGCGTCAACCCTTCATTTCCAAGCAAACCCCAAATATTGAAAAGGATTTATGAAATTTCTTGTTGAATTTCAGTCAACCTTACATTCAAAAACATCAACAAGGATTATGGATTTTGTTATCTTACACAATATCACAGCTTTTGCAAAAGTAAGGAGGGCTATCAATCCTTTTTATTTTTGGGTATAAAAAGGGTATATTATATTTCACATGTCACGCTTAATATATCATGATTATGAGAGCATTTCAATTACAATTTTTTTATTATAATATTATAGTTATTCAATTATAATTAAAAATTATGTGAGAGATTATTTATAAGAATAGATTTCACATAATATTTTGATAGAACCTTTGTAACTCCAAATTTTAATTAGTTAATTGTAATATAATTATTATATCTAATATGCTTCATATAAAACCCACTACAATATATTATCTATTTTAAAATCTATCCTGCAATTATAAAAACAGAATAATAAAAGATAAATACACTTATAAATCACAATTCAAATTTTGTTATTAACGATGTGGGATCCTTTTCCCCTAAATAGAAACACTAATGAAATAAAGTTTTGACAAGAATGTGTCTGCTTCAACAATTTATATCCAAAAAGAAAAAGAGAAGTCATGACAAAGGCAAAGAAAAATTGTCTTTAGAGATACGTTTGAGTTTGACTGTTTAATTTGTAGACTTAGAAATGAAAATGAAGTGTATATGTATAAGATGAGAATAAGTGAGGGGAATATTTTTCAACAAAGAAAATATTTCGATTTTTTACAGTACTTTTGGTCAAATAATTACTTGCTGGTTGGCATCGCTGTATTGGAGCACTAGAAAAGTTTGTAACCCAATCCTAACATATTTCTGTCTATGATTGAGCAATTTCCAGCAAAATCACAATATATATATATATATATATATAGAAAGTTCTCTGACCTACATGTTTGAACTTTTTTAATTTTATTTTTTTTCAAAATAAGAAAAAAATTCCAGCCGTGGGAGTTTTAAGAAAATTTGACCCATTGAATTCTTGAAGTACTATATCTTAACTAAGTTCTAATTTATGACTATTAATTTGTAAGTCAACTATTTAGTAAAAATGGCTTCCACAAATGGCGAAAAGGAAAAGCTTGGGGGTAATGTTTCTAGAACCAAAATTTATTGTGCAAATGTTCTAGCTAGGATGGATAGGGAGGGGACCAAACCCAAGGGCCTTAATTTATTGGCGCATGTTTGTGACTTGGGGGGTGTAAAGCAATTACCCATTGATTTGATTTACGCGGGACGGAGGGTACATGCATGAACCAGCATTAACCTAATTTGCCAAACTGATCGAACAAGTTGTCTGCTGATCAGCCTCGGGCCAGGCCACAGTGTCTCTTCTCTTTAGTACCCTTCATTGGTAAGTTATCCTTCTCGATTCTTCATTTAAGGAAAAAGCCTTAGCTTCAACCTAAAGACAAGAAAATGTAACGCTTTCTTTTAAACTTCATATGCAAAGAATGTAATTTAATTACACAATAGGTGATAGTGTTTTTGTTTCTCATTGATCTCAAAATATTCTTTCCTAAAGTTTAACTTTGAAATGGAAAGTAATACTTAGTGATATACTTTGACCTTATTAAGTTATTCTCAATTGAAAGTAACCTTTCTATCTTTTAGGCATTTACACCATTATCTCCATTTTTATCATTTATGTATGTAAAGTAGACTTAGTAATTGTGAAATATATTTCTACTATTATAATGTAACATCGATCTAAAAATAAAATGGGGGTATATGTATGAATATGAAGAAAATGTTGTCTGTGAAAGTGCTTGTGACATTGGCCTGTCTTCCTTTCTTTTATCAGTAAAGATAGCCACAACTATGACATAGCACAGCAAGCTGTTTGCTGACCAAAATGATCATAATTCACAGGGAAAAGGCTAGTCCACTAAGACTTTTTGTCCTTGAAGTTGAACAACAAAACCGACTGACCAAATGATGGGGGAATGGGGCCTTTGAGTCCCATACCGACGGGATGTTTGATATGAAGTGGAGAAACCCACTAATGCAGGGTAATAATATATTTGTTTTTCAAAAAAATAAAAGGTGAAAAGAAATTGGGGCCCTAAAGGGCCAGATGAAGTACTCGACATCATGGAAATGTTGATGTGGTGTTAAAGCTGGACACTGGATCGTTCCTTCATGCATTTGTCACCAAAAACCCCTTTTAAAAGGGATTCGGCAAAACAACAAAGAAAGATGAGTGAAAAAAGATGATCCCCTCTATCTTTCATCTCTGCGCCCATGCCATGAAATGCTTTTGTCATCGAATGAACTGCAAAGTTAGCCGCCCAATGCCCACCATAGACAGTTTCTTAGAAACCTCCTATGACCTCGACGTGAAATGTCTGCTAGGAAAAATACCATATCTTTATTATTATTATTATTATTCACCAAGGAACTGTATGTAAGTCTTGAACAATTTCTTAACATGAATTTGAGTTTATGGTCTCATCATATTTTTAATAAAAATATTTGATAAAATGTATAGTATATGGACAAATTGGTGCAAATTAAAGATGTTGTCTAGCTTCTAATAGTACCTTATACCTAAATTAGTTATAAAAGTGCATCGAATTTTTTTTTATTGTAAGTTTTAATTTTTAATATTTTACTAGAGAGAACTTCTTGCATACATAATATATTATTTTTATTTCACATAAAAATTTTAATACTTATAAATTTTATTTTAAATTATGATCTATTTTATAAAAAAAATTATGATTACAAGTGTTAAAATTTTAATTATTTAGTAGTAATATAAATTACAGATCAAGCAAAAGTAGATTACCCACAACGGAGAAAAGGAGAAGAACAAAAAGAGCACTTTCACACGTACACCTTGCCACTACTCACGTTCACTAACTAAATTGCACATTATGAAGAGTTATCACCACTATAAAAAAAAATAAAAAAATCAATCCTAATTATTACTTTGACTTTCAAAACGAGATAACGCTTCAACCAGAAACTTCCATGGACAAGTGTAATGATGTCCCATGGACTACATGTTGGTCGAGGCTGATCCGTTACAAGAAATTATAGGATCTAAATTTTGAAAAGTAAAAGAAATTAAAAAAAAAAAGTTAATCATAAATCAGTTCCTGAGTAATGTATTTGAGCCCGGAGCTGGTCACATTATGGTTTGAATAATCTACAAATTATTTGTCAACAATTTGGTTTGAATATGAGTCCTTTTCGGCTTCTCGCCATTGATCTTTGCTACTTTATTAATTACTTTAATATAAGAACTAAATTTCTTAATTAATTATTAATATAAATTATTAAAATTAATTTAAGCTAATAGGAAAAGCATTTACTTTTCTCTTGTTTATGCTTCAAGGAATCGTTAAGAAATGTGATATTGCAATGACATAAAAAGTTCAACTACCACCTATTTCTCGTCCTAATATTGAATGATAGCAACTAGCTATAGAGTCTTAGAGATGACAATCTTTGCACCAATTTTGTCCAATTTCAATGAAAATGGGGTCAGATTAGAGGTGAGCCACTGAGCCGTGGAACTTTAAATTATAAATATAAACATGAGAGCAATTATTCTTCTTATTTCTTCATATATATATATATATATATATAGCTTAGTGGGATTAAAAATCTTGTTCAGGATTGTCAAGTTGGGCAATACTAGCTATAATTTCATTGATATTTATTTCTAGTAATTGATCAGATTATCAAATACATTTGCATTTGTTAACCAAAAATTTACATTAATTCGGACGAATGTACTCGACTCTGTTGTACATCGTAATTTAATCCGGCTTATTTAATTATTTTTGCTACTAAGATTTAAGTACGGCTTAATTCAGTTACAAGAGGCCCAAAATGGTTGTCAAATCAACGTACAATTTTCATTTCTAAAATTGGCCGAACAAAACAATATTGGAAGGGTAGTGTGGTGGAGAATTTAATATAATGGATTAGTAATGGGGTGAGGTAACCTAGCTTTAGCTCCCGTGGTGAATGGTGATGCAATCTCTTTCTAATTATTTTTTTTTAAGGTGTGGTGTACGGCAAATAAGCTATGGGGTACCCCAAAGAGGTCTCCACTGCTTATATTCTCTGGACAGAGATCTCACTATGGCAGACCAAAGATTTGCTTTACTTGGAAACCACAATACCCAATGCCACGCCGCCCACACCAATCTATTTGTTGATCATCAGCTTCAAATCTTATTCCATCTTCTAGATTGAATAAACTAATCACACATTCTTAAAGCTAACAGTACTCGAATTAAACCCTTTCTTGGGGAAGGTCCAAGCGCTGACAGGGCAATAACCTTTTTTTTTTTTTTAATGATTTCTCTGCCTATTTTCGAGATATTTAGTGCATTAGATGTTGCTGCGGTACCTTCCCACCAAATCCAATATGACTGGTGACGAGATCAAATTGACAATTTCAACCCCCATACATATATTTTTTTTAAGTTGATGAAACAAAATCATCTGCAGGCGCTTGCATAATTATCAGGTCCGATTTATCCTCAGACGCACATTCAAGTTCAACTGAGATTTCTTTCTATCAACAGTTTTAGAGAAAGAATCCAAGTCATATTTGTAGTCTGCGGATCTGTCCGAGTTTACCTTAGCTAGGGATGCAATCAGAGATGGAGATAGAGAGGGTAAAGTGAATGGTGACAATGGGCAATTGGAATTGCGAAGTGATGGACCAAAGCATTTACAAATAGTCGGTCAGCCACATGCACAAGTCGAAGCCAACTTGACAAACAAGATCAGCTCCGTTATCCATGCACTCAGTGCCTATTCTTTCTATCTTCTCTATGATCTTTTTAGACTTTGTACTCTTTGCAAAACCCTACTTAACTACAAAGTAAAGTCACTCGCTTTTTTGTTTTTTTAAATGGGAACTAATTGGATCTTTTTACGCACCAACAAAGCAGAAGTAAAACGATCAAACAAAAGCTCAAACAAGAAATTTATAGTCCCCTTAAAATATCAAAAATTCAAAAACAACCCAAACCCAACTCAGAATATGTCTCTATAAGATAAAAACAAATGGCTATTTGCCGCTATTCTTCCATTTACAGGAACGAACACCCACATTCCAAAATTTTCCTCAAGTTAAAACGAAACACAACAACAGCAGCTTAACAGACAATAATTAGGTATGTCATATGTGAGGTTCAATGGCTTTTTGTATACAATAGGCAAAAAAATTTCCTTTTAGAGTTATTAAGCTTTCCACCTTTAGGCTTTTTCTTTTTGAAGGGGATGTACTGAAGAAAAAAAACACTATGGAGCACCATAACCTCGAAGATCAGGCCATTGATTCGGATTCAAAGAACCACCTGTGGTGTTGCTGATGTTAGTGTTGCCAGCGGTGCTTGTGCTGCTGTTGTTGTTGATACTCCATAAAGCTGCTTCAGAGACTGTAGGGTTACTATTATTGACGAAACTTTGATGCCAATTCTGCTGAGAAGAATTGCCTCCAGCAGACCTGCTAGACTGAATCAAGCCCTCTTGATCAGATGGGTACATATTTACAGTCTTTTGATCTCTATTACCGGTTTGAAAGAATCGGGTTTGCTGAATTGGCCGATGCTGTTGTGACCCAAACGAAGAAGGGACACTATACCCCTGCAAAAGACCCAAAGTTGAAGAACCAACCAAGTCACCGGCAATACTTAGAGCCTGACTGAGAGGTTGATTAAAAGGTTGCGGTTGGTTCATTGACTGAATTGCCGCCAAAGAAGACAAGAACCCACCACCAGGATAAAACGATCCCACTGAAGAAATAGCAGATGATGAAGCAAAACTACCAGACTCTTTGGTTCTCAAAGCAGAACTTACGTTGATCATTGGATTAGAAGAGAACATAGTTTGTGGTGATGTCAGGTTTTGTTGCTGAGGTATCTGTGGCTGAGACCTTGAATTTTCACCAGAAGAAATCCTTGTGCGCTTCCCTTTCCTGCATCCACCTCCCACAGGCACGTTCCTTAGGGTTCCACCTTGAGTCCAGTACCTTCTACAAGACTTGCAGAAATAACGAGGCTGTGAGAGACTGTAATTGTTGTAGTAACAAAACTTTGTATTAAGCGACTCACAACGAGGACAATTTTGAGGTGGGTGCTGTTGTTGCTGCTGCGGCTGTTGATTCTCGCCCGTCAACGGCTTCAATCTTCGATCTTGCTGTTGGTTCTGCTTCATGTCTTGATCACACCCTCCTCTATCTTGCTGCATCAGTATACCTATATAGTCTTCTTTCAGATGTTGGTGCTGTTACTGATTTATTAATTATTTTTTTTGTTAATCTGATATGCAATCAGGATTTTGGGTTTGCTTTGGTTTTGGTGTTGGGTTTGGTACATGCAGGCTTTGGAATGAGACCTGAGAGATGTAGGAGAGGCGTTTCAGATATAGAGCTGTGTGATAACTCTACTACGTGTCAGCCTCTGGCTCTAGAGAATCTCCACTGTACAAAAAAAACCACGGCGATCGTTACCTTGTATGCATGCCTATATCTTTACCTACCAACCCCACCTCACGAAAACCATGGCTTTTCCCTAAATATTTAAAATTTTTTAGCATATAAACAAATGGTAATCAAGAACCTAAATTATGAAAATATCCCTTAAAATCCAACAAAATCTCCCCAGATTTCCATTTCCACAAAGAGGAGAGAAATCACATACTAATTATTTACATATACATACATATATATATATATACTTATCCAGATATCGCAGAAATTGATGTGAATGAGTAGAAAGCAAGGGAGTGACTGACCTGCTTTACGAGAAGGAGAAAGAAGAGATGTACAAGTGTCGGGCGTGGACAACGTCCACTAAAGAAAGGTCTCAATCTGGAGTGAAGAGAGATAGAAAGAGAAGAGAATGAGAAGAGATTTTTAACAGGTAAAGAAGAAAAGAGAACTGGGAGGTTTGTTGGTTCAGTGACAGTACAGTCGATTATAGAGAAATGGGTCTGTTCAGGTTCGGTCCCATCTCACACACTCACACCAATCCAGGAAGAAAACATAAAACAAAAGAAAAGGACAAGTGAAAACCCCAAGTTGCTTCACCTGATTCATCATCAGGCCAGGGTCATCAGAATTGCGTGAAATAGCAGATAAAACCAATACGCAGCAGATTAATGGCCAAAGAAACCCACCCAAAACCTTGATTCTGTACTCTTTAATGTGGGTTTTGTGACAGCCAAAGAAATTGTGGTGGCCTAATAAGACCAGCAAAATATACAGTCAAAAGGGATCGTAAAAGAGAGGGAACAAGGAATTTAAGTAAGTGATATGTAGCTAGGCTATCGAGGAGAGACAAATATAATAGGGAATGGCCCAGTAAGCAGTGCGCAGATAGGCGGCGCTGCCAAAGAAAGGGTGGCGTGGCGGTCGGAAATGGGGTGATGGGCTGCGTCAGACCTCAGTTAACTATACTGTTTTCTTTTCTTTGCTTTCTCCTTCCCCTTTCCTATGTCTTCCTCACTCATTCCAATTTCATATTCTTTGTCTGAACACTATCTCTTTCTCTCCTGACTCTTCTATTCTCTATTAATATTATTTTATTGATATTGATATTTTTCATTTTTTAAATTCCTGTTTTCAGTTTCATGCCATCGGAGGATTATGTTGATAGATGATATAATTGATAATCTTGAAGAAGACTATCATGCCCTCGTTAACCATTGTGTTTTGCTACGATGGTTGGTAGCATTGTTCCAACTTAAAAGTAAAAAGATTTTATATTTAGTATATAATGGTATATAAATTTTATATATTATTAATAAATTAATGATATTATTTTATTAATAAATAAATATTAATTTTTAAAATAAATATATAAAAATTAATTTTTTTAAAAAATTATTTATTAATGAAATGATATTATTTAATTTATTTTATTAATAAAATTATATTATATTATTAATTGATATTATATAAAATTTATACATTAATAATATATTAAATATAAATTTAAAATAAAATATTCATATGATTTTTAGTCATATCATACATGGAGTTTATATTTTATAGAATATTATAAACGTTTTGATGAATTATAACTCATTATTTAGTAATTTCTTTTTTAAAAAAAGTAATGGTTTAATATTAAAAACTCTTTTCTCTTTTTCATTGGGAGAAAAGGATAAAGGATTAATGTTTATTAACAAATCAAATTATAATTTCAAATTTTCATTTATTGTATGTTTTTCTATGTAAATATTACTACCTTCTTAAAAATCTTGAATTGCTTAAAAAATTTTGAAGTCATTAAAATTTTTCGACACAAAAGTATTCTATTTTCCGAAGTTAAAAGCTTATTTTTTTATAGTGATAATAAAACATATTTCGTAGATTTACTTTTTATTTTAAAAGTACTAAATTTTTATGAATTATAATAAATTTTATGTTATGTATTTTAGATTAATGTATATAAACTTTTTCTTTGAATTTGGTTTTGGTCAGACTAAAAACACTACATTAGTGTAGACGCCCCTTCAGACGTGGTCCCTTGCCTCAGCCTTGTAGGTGTTGGCTTGCTGTTCATGATTTGTGGTCCCCATCTTAACCTTTCCTATTGTTTGTTAGACTTGAAAATGGGATTGTACGGGCCAATATGTCTTTCTTTTGGGCTTTTGGATTACCACCATTAGTTATTTTTCTAAAAGCTGGGCTTATTTCGGCCACTTAGTGCAAAGCTTGAAAAGTGAAAACAGGGGAAAGAGACAAATGGGCTGGTTTGGTTGTAACCACGAGATTTGAACGTATTCATTGATTGGGCTTGATCCCTTTGCCATAAATATTCATGGGCATCAGCTGGACACTGGCTTTTTTTTTAAACTAGAGGTTCATTTAAACCAAATACTATCAATATCATACTGGCAAATTTTATTGGACAAATTTTAAATGATATTATTAAATTATCATTGCCATGATAAACCAACTCATTTGTTAAAATTCATTCTCCATTCAAGATTTTAACTCATCTTATTTCTTAACTTTTAAGTCTTTTAAAAGATTATATAATTTAATTTCAACCCATCACTTGAACTACATTCTGAAATTTGAAATTAGAACTTAATTCAACTAGAGCCTAGATTTATTAAAATTATTATTTAGATTTTATTAACTAAATTTGATTACTAACAATTACTAACACTTTCATGATCTAATAATACCAAATTACTAACAATTAATCTGATGACAAGATTCGATTAATCTGATGCTAGACTTTCATGCTCTGATAATAGTAAATTACCAATAGTTAATCTGGTGATAAAATACTAAAGTACTAAATTGGTGATAGAACACTAAAATCTCATGATCTAATTACAAATAGCTCATTTGGTGATAAAAATATTAAACTGGTGATAGAATATTACTCTCATTCATGATCTATTAATAGTAATACTCTAATGATCTAACGATAGTAATAATGATAAAATTCTGAACTTTTAGTTTCAATAATTTTAAAATCCATCGTTAAAATCTTGATAAGATCTAAGTATATATAAAAAAAAAGTAGGCAAATTTCCTATAACTAATTTCCCCTGAACTTCCAAATTTCCAATTCCTAATTTCTCCAAAACTTTCAAATTTCCAATCCCTACTTTCCCCTGAACTTCGATTTCCTTGGGGTTACCCTTTATATTCAACTGCCTTACATATTCAACCGTTCAAATACAAAATCCTATTAAGCAAAAGTTTTGCAAATAAAATATGACAAAAATATTAACTTTCCATGGTTACATATAAAAACTATGATAACCATTAGGCGACCACTAACTTATTTGCATTATAAAATAGAGCCATTAAAATAAAAATAATAAAAAAAACCAACAAATTAACTCCTGTTTTTCAAAACTTCCTCTCATCATCGTCTCTTCGGCCGGTACGCCTCCTCAACTCCACAACATTGTCATCCATCCTTTTCACCTCCACTTCCTCCTCACTCTTCCCAACCACAGTCTCCTTGATCTTTTGCGTCGTCCCCTTGGCAGCGTTCCAAGCTCCCTGAACCGTCTGCTTTGCCTTCTCTCCCACACTTTGCATCGTCTCTGATGCCTTACTAGCCATAGAATCAGCAATCTCCTCAGTCTTCTCCTTCGCGCCGTGTGCTTTTTCTTTACCTTTATCCTTCGGTTCGTATGCAGTTTGTGAAGCTTTCTCCGTTCCTTCTTTGGCCTTCTCTTTTGCGCTTATGGATGTCTTGGATGCTTTCTGTGTTCCCTCTTGTGCCATCTCCTTGGTGTCGTCTCCATACTCTTTAGCTTTTTGTTTCGATTTCTCTTTGGCTCTTTGGGCTGTCTCCGCCGTTCTGTTTGTTACTTCTTTTGCTTTCTCAGCCTCCGATTCCGCGGTTTCTTTTGTTTTCTCCTTGGTTTTGTGTGCGTATTCCTCTGCTTTCTCCTTTGCTTCCCGTGCTTGTTCTTTTGCTCCTTCTATGGTATCTTCGGAGGCATCTTCCAGGACATAGGTCATCTCAGCTTCTTCATCGGATGAGGTATCCTTGTACCTGTAGGCCATGTCGGCTTTTGGGTTTCTTTCTTCATACGCATTTCTGCCCTGAAATTTCATAAAAACCAACTCCATAAAAAGTGTTAAGCAATGGAATATTCATCACCGAAAACTCCATAAAAGACGTTCAAAGTGAAGAAAAAAAAATGCAAAAGACTCAGCTAGGTTAATGATTTTACCTCAGGGTGTTTGGAGGCGGTGGTAGTGAAGCAGACTCGTGAGACTTAGCGGGAGGATCTAGTGGAAGAAAGAGTTTGGGGGAACGCTTTCGAAAGCTGGAACATAGTACTCTTGGAAATGAACATGGCTGCCATCGTTGAGGATCTTTACGTTCTCCCAGCGAACCATGTCTTCTTGAGTATAGTTTCTTAGTTCTTCCTTTCGCAGAGAACGAGAAAGTGGCTGCCTAATTGATTGACAGGTTTTAGCATTAATGCCATTTTGAAGGTAATGGTGGGTTCATCAAGTCAACACATGTTGCTCTCCTTTTCCCTCGTGTACATTAGTTGGTTAGAAAATACAAAAAAAAAAAAGGGGGGGGGTGAAAATACAAACACCCTCCAGTTCCGAGGGTCCAGCTTCCCCTCGCTAAACCGACCCAGTCCTGAAAAGTTACGTGTAGGTTCACATATATTGACCCAAGGGATTGAGCTTTGTTGGGTCCATGTCAGTATATAATAGCCCATTAGGCCATTACACTTCTCCGGTCGTTTCACTTTCTTTTTCCGAGGCCCATGAGGTATCTACTTGTGACTAGACCATGGCACTGGCCTCATTCTGAACTCAACTTCATTGGAGATGAAAGCTTGAAATGACCCAAATTGCTCACAACGAAGTGAAGCCGGCCCTTTGAACAATTGTAACGGTTCAATGGTATTCAACACAAGGGCAGAGAAAAAGGTTTAATGGCATTCAACACAAGGCAGAGAAAAGGGGTGACTATATAAATATATATTTCAAATGGTCAAATGCTCGCTTATCACAGCTGTTCTATTCAGCCAATAAGCGTAAGAATACGGTTAGAGAAAGCACATGATTAGCCACTTTCAGCTAGGTGGTAAAAACAAACAGGTTCCAAGCCGTTATTTATTTCACCTTTTTCTTCCCTTTAGTTTGAAGGGAATATCCCCTATTAGAGACCAACGTTAACTTCATTTGAATCAATTATGACTGTTTTTTCACTTTAAGTTCTTTATTAAAGATTTCTTTTGATTTGGGACAAGGGAATTTGAACCTAAGTTTACTTGGGATCGTGAACCAACCAATGCGTTTAAACACTCGGATGCAAAGTCATCTAGTTCGAAATATGAAGTACTTTGCTAAGATAAGGTGTTCAGTTTTTGCTGAAGGAATTGGTGTGAGAGTGTAAACCATGGCTAAGTTCTGTAACTTTTGGTCTGAAATTGAAGAATCACACCACACATATTATATATCAGCCTATGTAATAATTTAATACCGTGATAAATGTAACTATGATTTGTTCCAAAAGCGGGACAAATCTTATGTTAGGACAGTTATGGCAGTTTCAACGAGAAAAGATTACTAGGATGTTACAATCCAATTTTCAAATAACACCACTTATCCTGATGCTAAGCCTCTACAAATAAAGCTTTAGAAGCTGGTTCTCGGTCCTGAACCAGTCGATAATAAGCTTTTTCAGTATAGGAAGGCGCCTAATGTGGCCTTAGATAAACTATTTAAACAGAAATTTGATTGTTTTAGAGGTTAATGAGATGCTGGGAATAGAGCTCCACCTTTGATCATAATTTAACTTTTGTTTATTAATGCCCTCTTGCACTTTTAGCTTCCTTTGTAAGTTAGAGTTTCTCAATATCTTTCTCCTTGCTCTATGCTTCTAAAGGACTGTCGAATCTATAACCATTTTTTACATATCTTTTTGTCTTCTTAAATTGTAACGCTACCTTGCTGTTCTAGTTTATTGTACCAATTCCCTTGCATAGGCATTAGCACACGATGATATGTGTTAGCACCAGTGCCTGTTATTGGCTTCAATGGTAGGACATGCTTGTCAATCTATATTTTTGAGCTATTATTTTGTAAATTTATTCCAAAAATGTACAAATAAGGAAGTGGACATGATTAATAAAATGATCCCATCTTGCCTAATATTGTCTTTGTGGAGTGAAAATAATGGTACTCATTCTACTTGTTTAGCGTTACGTTCTAGATGTTGACAGCTATCGGTATCTTGGGCAGGTGTTGCTACCTGGGCTTCTTTGGCTGCATGAAGCTCCGTCTCCCAGTCTATATAGTTCAAAGTTCTGCCTGTATTGCCTTAAAGCTCATTGATCTTCACTCTCTCCTGAGAAACTCCTTGTCTGTTACCATTACCAAATTTGCTTCTCTTGTTTCAAAATCCTCAAAGCACTTGAAGTTTATAAGTTGTAGAACCAGTAATTTCATATATGTGAGGGATACAGGTCTTTCCCGCTGACATGGGGACTTTTCTCCATCATTTCTGCAAACAGAGAATTCTGACTTGCTCTGTAAGTAAGTGGAGAAATTCTGCATGATCGGGCTAGTGTTTGCTATGTCAGCTCTTAATCAAAACGCATTCTTATTTCTTCGTCAAAACTCTATATCCTGTTTTACTTTTTCTAAGGTTGCTTGTTCTCATTTTCACCTAAGATTTTAGAATTTGCAGCCTTTGTTTGCATTTATATCTTTATCTGCCATAATTTTGGATCACCTATGTGCATACTCATTACCGTCAATAGAGTCAATACCTACCAAAAGCGCTTCATTTCTTCTGGTATTTAGGTTGATATTACCTTATACTTTCCCTTGACACCTTATTATAATATCTGTATATTCATACACATGGATGATGTGCGGTGGTGAGAATTAGGAACTCTAAATGGAAACGGCTTGGAAGAAAAAGGAAATACATAGAAATCAAAATTTGCTTCTTTCTTTAAATGCAAGATCTAAATGTGAAAAAATTACTAAAATTCAAGTTACCACTGCATACGTTATATATGTATCGATATGTATTTTCACGTTTTAGCAAAAGTACATCCAAGTCTTGGATTTCATGCTCATCATAAGATTTTGCTGTTGAACTGAGGATTTCTTAAGTGCTTATTGGTAGAAACAAGATTTAACATTGTGTAGATGCATTCTAGTTCACGATTCCCGATAAGCATATGCATATGCTGCAGTTTTTTGCTTTTATGGATAAGCTGTACTGAGTGCCTACTTTGCGACAATGGACAGAAATCCATGTTTATAATCAGCTTAGCAACAGAGAGTAAATTATGCAGAGTATGAAATTCACAATGCTTATCTGCTATAGTTTACTACGTGTTCACATAAAGGATTTTATGCTCACTCTAATATCATAATCTTTCATAAAGAAAAAGGATTCAACTGTTCATTTTTTTATTCCATTAATCTAGCAGGGTTCATGAGGATCAAATTTATTTTAACTATAATTAAGTAGGAAGCATCTTCATGTATTTGTTTGGCAGCTTTTGTTGCAGTTAAGATGGCACTATAGTTTCTTAGCATTTAGTATCATGGTTTTAGCATTTTGCACAATATCTGCCTGTTATGGTGTTACTTTACAGGTTTTAGATTGATATAACCATAAGTATCATATCTTGTTTTGATACCCTCACGTCGAATGGCTTTCTTGATCCCTCACATTTTTATAATAGGAATATGGTCTTGCCATGGTCCCTAATTGCTCTTTTTTCCAACTCCCACCTCAACTTTCTAACTTCAAAGGCATATGATAACTGATTAGTGTTTTAAACAATTTTGCCGTGCATTGATCACCAATAACATGGAATGTTAGCGTCTTTTTCAGTTCATTTTCTCTATTCTTCACCTCCTGAGCAGGATCGTAACAAAGAACAACCTTTTATGTTAGATTACCCGTTTGGCAGTAACATATCATGAATGATAACGTATATGATGAATTGAAAAGGAAATTTCTTCAATGCAGAGAGTTAGAATATTGTCTTGTATGAGTTAGCACTGGCCTAAATCCTGGACTTCAAGGTTAAGTAAGCATTCTGTATATGTTGGTGATGTGATTTGTTTACATGAAGCTATAGAAGATTTTCCCAAATCATAAAACTGACAATGTGTTTATTCTAGCTATTATTTGTCTATGTCGTTCCATTTTAGCTCTTTAATTTGTCAAACTTGTACCAAATAAGAAATTTTCTCTTTTCCTTGACGGCAGGTTTTGATCCTTCAAGCAGATGACAAGCAAGCTGGATATGGGAACGGATAATGGATACTTTGAAGTTAAACAAACAACTGATATAACCCTCATGGAAGCAACTATTAATTCTTCAGTTTCAGCCACACTACCTCATCACTCGCTTTGAACCAAACCTTTCTACGATCTTTTACTCACAGTAGAGGCATTACCTAAACCCAGTTTCGAAAAAACAAAAGCTAGAGAACGCAGCTTATCTCCCTATGAGTTTAAGATTATCAACCTCAAACCCTGCAAACGACACTTTTAACCGAGAACATAATTGTTAGAACAACTTATTATATCTTTCAGAAATATAGATTAGAGAGTCCGAAGTAGTATGCTTTGCTATTTTTGGAGATAGCTTTTAATCTTATGCAAGATTGTGGGACAACACGCTACTTAAGAGGAAGCCATCTACAATGAAATAGCAATGCTATCATATCAGGCACCTTTTCTCTTATAAAGTTTAAGACTAAGATTCCAAACCCACCAACCACATAGTTCAATACAGATGTTTGTTTTTGGAGAGAGAGAGAGATAGCAGAATTAATAAGAGGCCATGAATATCTGAGTTAGCCAAGGATGCATGGTGTTTTGTGCAGGACGAGCCCAAGACTACTGCTACATTTAAACCAAAGGTGGCGCCAACTCGCTCTCAAGCTCTCTCAGTGGTCAGATGGGTATCCCCAAACCACCTTTCGCCCGCCACCTGTCACCCACCCCACCCCATTGGCAACCTCTCATCGCTTCACTCTCTTTACTTTCTCTGCCTCTCTCTCTATATGTTATTTCGTGGCCTTTTCTCTCTCCACACCGACCCCTCTGCACCACTTGACGCGTTTCTCATACTTTTTTCACACCTGGACTCACCCTACTGGCAGCACCTTACATCCCCACGACCTTCTTGAACCAGACTTTGTACTCACTACAAACACAAAACCAGCAAACATACAAAGTACAGTCTCATCAACTCTCTCTGATCACCACCAGCATTACAATCCCCTAGACTCATCATCACATTACACCTTTATCCTGATGGATAACTCTTACATACCTTTTTCCCCCACCACCACCACAACCACCAATACCACCCTGAGGCAACCAAACATGGGTTGGTCTCAGAATTTAGAGTTTTCCATCTATGAACCAATGAATTCAAAAAACTTCAGTTCAACACCCTTAACAACAGCATCAAACTCTCAGTTTCATCATCCACCACAGTTTATGGCACCTTACCAAAGCCTGCAACCCCCATACAGACATCCCATAGAGCAGGCTGGTCAGTCTTTACCATATCCTGTGTATCCTTTCTTTATGGGAAGGAATGGGATTGAATTTGGGGTATGCAGTTCTAATCATGCGAGTAATGGGGTGCAAGGATCATGTTTCATACAAACAGACGGGCTATCAAAGGAGCAAGAGAGAAGGATCCTTGATCCTTATAGAACAAAGGTTGCAAGGATTAAGAGAAAGCTGGCACGGCAGAGAAGCCTTAGTTTGCAAAGAAATGCTTCTTCAGAGGCTTCAACCCAGGTGGATGCAAGGAGACTGACCAACTCTGGTGCCGACACTAAGGTGAAGAACAACAATGATACCAAAAGGGATCTGTACAAGTTTTGCACAACAGAAAACAAGGTGCATTTTGACAAAGAGTTCATCTTTGATTTTAGATTTTTTTTCCTTGTCAATTAGTGATGTTGGGCTTATTGTTTTCATAATCTCAACTAATGAGTACTGAGATTGTTTAACTTGGGATGTAGAGACTGAGAGTGTTGCTGAGTAAGGAGTTAAAGAACAGTGATGTTGGGTCCCTTGGGAGAATTGTCCTTCCAAAGGTGAGGTTTTACTTGATCCATGAGGGTATTCTCAAGGCCTGTTCTTCCGCCTCTGATCCTGCTTGTTTGGTTTGCGGCCCTAAATATCCTTTTTTTTACCCCCACTCTAAAGATAAATGTTTGAAAGAAGAGAAAGAAGCACAAAAGAGCCAACCATTAACTATTCCTTCATTCGCTCTCATTGACTACTGTAACATTGTTGTCTTCTAGACTACTGTAACTAATCAATCCTTTCTTGACTTCTCGATTCTTGCACAAAAAAATACAGTATAAGAGAAAAAAAAAAGAGTTCCTACTCTTGTTAAGCATTATCTTGTAATGCTACTATTTGGCAAGCACAATTATCATTATGTTGCATGTTGCTTGTTTATATTTCTAGACTTTTGCTTCATTTAACGCGTCTACCTGCAATTTAATTCAGAGAGAGGCAGAGATAAATCTTCCAACCCTCTCTGATAAAGAAGGCATCCAATTAATGATCAAAGATGTATATTCTAACCAAGTGTGGACTCTCAAATACAAGTAAGTACTGCTGATTTTGAATCTCGGTTTGTCTTTAATTACTCTTTATTTCCTTTGAAAATGGTGATTAAAAGATGTTGAGCCCACATAGAAATGTTTTTGTTCATTGATGTCACAGGTTCTGGACCAATAATAAGAGTAGAATGTATGTGCTTGAAAACACTGGTAAAACCTTCAAGCCAAATGACTTTCAGTTCATTCCAAACCCTTGCCTTTTGTTATTACTCACTTTTGATTATGTTCATAATCTCATTTTTTCAATTCACCAGGGGATTTTGTAAAGCAAAATGGACTGGAGATTGGAGATTCCCTTACCCTTTATGAGGATGAAAGCAAGAATCTCGTGAGTATTTCTTCCTTATTACTATGATACTAGTAATTTTGTTGAACATGGATAGGGTAAAAAGGTTTTAGCTTAGCTGGATGACAGTAATGCCCTTGACCTTTTCTTATATTGATGATAATATTATATCCCTTTAGAAGAATGTGAAGGGAAAAAGGACAAAAAGGAAAGGGTTAGAATGGACAAAATTGCATAGCTTTAATTGACACGTATCAGATGATCTGTTGGCAGTAGACTTGCCTTTTGAAAGACAGCTAGGACTAGGCACTTGCGTCGCACAAGTGCTTCAGCTTTGTGGGGCTGAGCAACGGTTCCCTTGTAGCTGAGATGGCCTATACTAGGACATTCTCTTAGCATAACAATCGTACATATCTGCATTAGTTTGTCTTATATCAGCACGTTCCTCTTGACAGGAATACTCATATATAGACAAAATCTGTTGCATTCTTATCCCTCCCCACCCCACAAAAGAAAACAAGAGAATTGAATTGGAATCTGTTTTCTTGTTAAACTTTCGAAGAAAATGAGGAAATGGTTCCCTTTAGTGTTCCTGTTCTAACTTCTGATTACGTAAGAGATCTCAATTCTCCCCATATTGATCAGAAAAAAAAATACCCAATTATTAAAATCCAAAAATAGCATAGTTTAAGGTTCTCATAATAATTTATTACGTCTTAATTGCATGAAGTATAGATGTAGATTAGCTGCTTATACTTCTTTGTTATACTTGGCCCTGCATGTGCCGGGGCACTGAAACTCATCTAAAATGCATTAACAAATGTTCTCGGCTGATTATATTGCTTGACTGTATCGCTTGTAAGCATTGATGATAAAATCTTTCTTTTTTTCACCCGATGGAGCAGTATTTCTCGATATTAAAGGTGGAAAGGGTTGCTGTTGAGCCTTCAAAAGGTCAACACAGTGACAATGAAAACAACAACCATATGTATGTGCCATTTACATGCCAATCTAGAGATGAAGAAGACACATCTTTAGAATTACTTATAGAACAACTCAAACACAAGGAACAAGAAGCACCTAACGACCTTATGACTTTGCCGATGGATGCTGCTTATTCGCATAGACTGCCTGAGGAGGCCAGACATCTTCTATCTGACAGCATTGTAGCTAGCAGAGAAACCTACAGCCGAATAACTACAACACCACTACAAACCTCTTCAACATTGTTACAAGGTAAGGCAAGAAGTGTAGATGATATTGAGATCAACTTTGACGACTGCTATGGCGGTCTTGATATGCTACCTGATGTCAATCATTACAATTTTTCACTTTGAGCATGTCAATAGCAACCTTCATGGGCTCAAAAGAATTTATAGTCAAGTAGCAATTTCTCTTATTGCTTTTCTTTTACAGATACATCATTGTTTCTGGGATTGGGAAGGGTATAGGAAGGAAATTTTTTTCTTGAAACTAGGCATTAGGATAGAGAACATTAAACCTTTCTCTTGTTCAGCTGTGCAGGTGCTTAATTTTTTCCTTCAATGTAAATGATCTCCCAATTGGGGTAAAATGAATAAAAGAAATCAATTATACAGAGGCTTCTCTGTCATTTTCTCTGTTTTAACCGTAATTGATGTTCATGAACATGGGTGTTGTTTCATGTTTGATGATGATACCATCAATTATGAGGTTGAGTTGTGAAAATAAACTTGGGTGACGATGTTACTGAGCTTCTAATATGGTGGAACAAAAGTTGATTTTCACAAGATTATGACAAAACTAAACAAATGTATGATATTCTCCCAAACTCAGCAGAGAACCCTCTTGATTTCAAACATGCTACCTGATAATCAAAAGCTCATTGTCAAGTTTTTCAATATCATACTTCATTGAATATATACAAAAGAAATACTCAAAAAATGCTAACATGAACGTCCAAATTAATTTAAAATTTTACTTAAATGCGAATCCTGTTGTTGAGAGTCTCAAGATTAAATCTTCATCTTTCCTATGTAGTTATTCAGTTATTCTTGAAACCAAACACATCTATACATGTTTAGTATATCAAATTATAAATGAATTTTATTATAGTTACCTTTTACAAGTTATTGAAATTCATTAAGAACATAATTAAAATTGATAAATAAAAAATTTTGAAAAGAGTTTCCTGAAAAGTGATAAAAATATATATATTTTTAAATGAAACAATTTATTTACAACAAATCTTAAATATTTTTTAGTAATTGCAACTAAACTATAACTAAACACAGTTCTTAAATATTACTAAAAAAGAGTAAGGTGTTAATTTATCATTGTATTTATGTGAATAGTTTAATTTATCATCAATCTTTTAATTGGTGCAATTTTACCATCATTATTTTAATTTTGGAGTAAATTTATCATTTTATTTCAAATTTTGAAGCAATTAAATACTATTTAATAAAATTTTCTGTTAAAAACTGTTTTATAATTCAAAAAATAATTTTGAAAATGATATAATAAGGAAAAAAAATCATGAGCTAAAATGTGAGTTTTTTATTTTATTTATTTTTCTTTTGTTATGATATTTTTTAGTAAATATAATATCACGTAATAAAAAATTTTCCTTTTACTTTATTTTATTCTTTTTTGATCATGACATTTTTTACTACATGTAATATAATATCATATTTTTTCAATTTGTTTTAATTTTTTCCTGTCTTGATTTGTTTCAAAATATTATTTTAATTATAAATAGTTTTAATATATATTTTTTAATTATTCTAAAATTTGGAATATAATAAAAAATTTAATTTAAGTTAAAAATATAATAATAAAATGACGTCAGTTAACAGATTTATGATAAATTTAAATCACTAATATAATGATAAATTTGTACCTTAGAAAAACATTATAGATTTTGTTTTTGGTTTTTGTAATTTTCGTTTTTCTTGCCAACGTGGAAATTTGAACCTTAGAAAAAACTCCTGCACTTTTACATTGTCTCCGACCCGTTTCAGACACTGTTGTTGGTTTTTTGGGATAAGCCTCGATTCGTTTGCACTCTGTTCACTCATCCATGGCAATAACCACGGCATCAGCAGCAGCCCCAAGTCTCTATTATCTCTCTTTTCTCACCCGTCGCAATACCACTCCTTCCTTTTCCTTCCTCTTCCCTAAACCCACCAAACCCTTTTCTCTCTCCCATTCATTCCACTCCCTTTCCCTCACACCCCAAGCCAAAGCCTCCGACATCGACATCCCCTTCTTCGACGACCTCAACCCCGAAGAAGACGTCGTCTTTGACCCACCACCGCCCCCTGAAGGGTTCATCCCACCACCTTATTTCGACGATGGCCCCGAGGAAACCGAAGATGAAATCGCCGCTGCCTATGAGGAACTATACGGCCCAGCCTACAGTGGGGTCTCCGTTTTAGGCAACGATATTTATGTGATGGACTCTAAAGTGAAAAAAACAAGTGCGTTTGGGAAAGTTAAGAAAGAAAAGGTAAGGGATGGGTTTGAGGAAAGAGTTGTTCAAGTTAGGAGAGTTACTAAAGTGGTTAAAGGAGGGAAAAATTTGCAATTTAGAGTTATTGTTGTGGTTGGTGACAAGCAAGGGCAAGTGGGTGTTGGAGTTGGGAAAGCTAAGGAAGTTATTGCTGCTGTTCAGAAATCGGCTTTGAACGCTAGGAGGAATATTGTTACTATTCCTATGACAAAGTATTTGACTTTTCCACACCGGTAAGGAGTTTCATTCTTGCTTTGGTTAATTGGCGCATGACATTTTCTTGGAAAAATTGTGTCTTTTTTTGTCTGTTTAAATGATGTAATTGGCCTTTCTTTTTGGGGTTGTTTTGGCGAAAGAGTAAATGTTCTGTCTTGGGGTATAAAAAAAGATTTCTTTTTTATGTTCAATTGAGGTTCCCTGAGTATTTTTTGCTCATTAATTGGATAGGTTAGTAGTGCTTTTCAGTTTAATGTAGTTTTTACTTGTAGTTGTTTATGCTAATTTTTACATAACTCAGTGATTCCCTGTTTTTAGGTTGATTATTGTTTTTCCATTTTGGAAAGATTATGGATAATCTTAGTTTGTTGTATGTAACACCTTTTCAAAATGTTTATGCAGTGAATTTGTTTTAATTTTCAATAGCGGTCTCTTAAACTCTTCCTGTATGCTAATTATGTGCTGTGATCTGTGGATTATATGCATTTTGGTCTTAAGCTCTCTGCTGGACCTGAAAAGCCCTAATTGACACTTAATACAGCAAATATATCTGAATGATGGTGCTGTAATTCTTGTAATTTCTATGAATCATCTGAGACTTGATAGATTATCAAGGCTTAGGAATTTGTTGAAGCATGTATTGCCTACAATTCTTTTGCAGTTGCTAGAAGTTAGACATTGGGGGCATTCATAATGTTGAAATGTAGGCAAAGATTTCCTTTGGGAAAACCCATCATCTCTATTACAGATCACTCATTAGGATAATATGTATACTTTTCTATAGGAGCTGACTCAATTTAGCCTAGTATAACGGTAGAAGAAGCGATGCCAATATGCTTTTTATTAATGTCATTGGAAAATGGCTGCAGATCTGAGGGTGATTATGGGGCAGCAAAGGTGATGCTTAGACCTGCTGCACCTGGTACTGGAGTGATTGCAGGAGGTGCTGTCCGAATTGTTCTTGAAATGGCAGGTGTTGAGAACGCATTGGGTAAACAACTTAGAAGCAAAAATGCCCTTAACAATGCCAGAGCTACAGTTGTTGCAGTGCAGAAAATGAAGCATTTCCGTCAGGTTGCTCAAGAGCGGGGGATCCCAATGGAAGAGCTGTGGAAATGATGGTACTGGAAGCGTGCTTCACCTATTCCCTCATCCTCTTTTGGCAATGTAGATTCTGTACACGAGGCTTTGGTATGTAAGCCAACCAACTACAAGATTCAGATATTTCTTTTGTTGATTATGATTGATGCTTTGCCTTCTAATTTTTTAAAAAATTGCTTCCAATGAATGTTACTCTGAGCTTCAATTAGAATTTTTCCTTTTCAGTTTCATATATTCTCTGATGTCTGTCATACTCAATTGCTTGAGCACTTGCCATTTATCTTGATATTGGCCCACATTCTTGGCATTGATTACTTAAAAATGATATTTTGAGAGTTAAAAGTGCCTTGAATATCAGTTTATTGAGTGTAGTCTACAAATCCTGATATGCAAAGATGTGCCAGTAAAATGTAAGCATGAGCCAGCCTAACCACTGACTCAGAATCTTGTCCTACACAACCTAATGCTAAAAGTTAAGATTAACACTGCAGTCTTAATTCAATGATAAAACCGGAAGCCATTAGCTGAAGTGTAGCCACCATGACCGTGTCTTAGATGAATTCTTCATTAGCAGAAGCATAGCTACCTAGATCAATTCTTCCTTAAAACAATAGAAAGCAGCAATTGTGAGACTGTCTGCCTCTGCACTTTCATGAAAGGACTCTTGTTAAAGGACCCTTTGTTTTGAATTTATGTGAAATTGCATTCAAAGGTATCTTATACTGTATAGCTGCTGCTGAGCTTATCACATCTTATACTTGAGAGCTGAAACATGGACATTTTTTCCTTCTTGGCTTCTTATTTCTAAATCTCTTATATTGTATGGAATGTTCTCTTCATTTTCATATATTCTCTCTAGTGTTCATTGTCAAACAAACTTAAATCTCTACAACACTTGCAATTTATGTTGACTTGCCGATCGGATTCTTTTGCATTCACAGCCACTGCCATGAAAGAATCTTAAAACTCGTAAATTAAAACTATTGAGATTAGCCTTCTGGATTTATTCTGCATTGAACATAAAACTATTAAGGGAGTGGGACAGTGTCAGGTGCCTGCTCAAGGATTGTTTAAGTTTACAGCCATGTAAAAATTTAGCCGTTCTGTGGGCAATGAAACAAAGTAAACGTAAGAAATATTGCAAATATGTTTTAAGAAACCGCAGCAGAAGGACCTTAAGGTATTAGTTATATCAAGGAGCTTTCTGTTTCAAAATCTGTCCTAACGGTATCATACTTGGTCGACTCATCTAGTTTTGCAGCCTCGTTTGATCAAACAAGCAAAAAAAAGGGTAATTGTTTCTCTGCTCTGAAAACAAGGGAAAAGATGGTCAAAACTGAAATTGGAATGAATATGAGGGCTAAGATGTTATACATCATGACTGAAGTGACCGCTGCCGTCACTTATCTCTGGCATTCTTCCATCTAATGGTCAAAGTAGAAGTAGGTTGGCTGCCATCATCACGGGGCTTCTCCATTGCAGCACTAAGAACAGCAGTTAGATAAATCGTTAACAATGCAGAACCCTTGAATGCCGCATTCAGAAGGATATCTGCCCCTGCACCTTTATAAAAGGATACAACGCCCTCAGTTTTGAAAATTTGTGCAAACGCGTTCAGTGAACTCTTATACTTGACAGCTTCTCCGGAGGTCATCATCATCCTTCTGCTCACTGTATCCATTGGGTAAAAAATCAGCTTGCGACTAGTATTAAACCCAAATTCTACCATAGCCCTGGCCAAATTATTGTCCTGCAAAAAACAAGCATTTTCTAACTATATCATTTATCATATTATTCCTGTAACCACAAACCAGATAGCATTGCCTAATGAAAATATAAGTTCATTTGTTGTTGGGAATAGTCAGCTTTGACAAAAAGAATCAATGACAACATTCAGCATCTTTTGGGAAATGACATTTTGGTAGCGTTTTAGATAATAGTGAGAGACAACAATAAATTGAAACTGCAGTTTAATGACCTCGCTGCCGGTTTTTAAGATCTCATATAATCCACTGACCTGCAAAAGAAGCAACCATAGCCGTTGCCATGGTTTTACAGCAACAGATAGCGCTGCCATCATACCAATTTTAGCAAGTAAAATATTATACCCACGGTACAGTCCAGCAATGCCGTCTGATTTCAGAGTTCTTCTGTAGACATCGAATATACCATTAAACTGCCTTTTGCCCAAGTTGCAGGTAGTTTTGACATCGTTTGCCAGGCGTGTTCCAGCATAAAAAAATGGATAAACAAGAAACAGATTTGCAGTCGCAACAAGGACACCTGCCACTAACATCCGAATATAAGTCCACTGGATATCTTCACGACTTTCAATGTATTGGAAGATAGTAAAAGGTATGGCCTGTAGCACATAAAGGTGTATGGGTTTAACAAATCAAGCAGATTAATGATACAAAATTTCTAACTCCTGAGAATAGAACAGCAACCTATAGGATAACTTGGTGGAAGTTACCTTGTTAAAAACATGTCCCATGGCATTTGCAGTGTTGCCTCTCCAAAGGGAAAAGATACCTTCATTTCTGATCGTTCGAGCAAAACAGTCAAATATTCCGTTATATGGTTGGTGCAGCCGACCTGACTTGATCATCGCGTTCTGGTTTTGCATCAAGAGCTGCACTCGCTCAAATGGAGCAACTGTTGTCTTCAGAACACCTAACATAGCCAATTTAACTAGAACAGAAGCTTTATTGTTCTCCAGTGGGGCTCCTACAAAAGCTGGCTGCGGCACAGGTTTTACAACAGTTGACGCACAGCCCTGGAATGCTGGAAGGAGTGGACTTAGCGATCTCCAGTTCACTAAGGCACCAGCCCCATGAATATTTTGCATTCTTGGAGTGTAAGAATGCCTGAATGAGAGGTCAGGGTGCCAGTGTATCTTTTGAGATATAGGTGGATGCATTGGCTCATGTTCCATTCTGCAGTTCAATCTTTTAGTCTGCAAAGAAATAATCAAACAGATGTGATTTTTTATTTTAAAACCCCAAAGATATATAGAAAAAATAAAGTTTGAGAAGCGTGACACAAAAATGAATATGAAGCCTCAAAAGGTTTATGGCCCAACTTATTTCCTTGTTCTGTTTACTATAGAGAAAGAGAAAAGGAAAAAATTTAAAGTAAAAAAAAAAAAATGAAGCTCAATACTCATAGCATATTCATCTCCCGCTATAGAAAGAAAACTCTAAAAAAAAATTAGAAATGAAGGCTTCTTACAATCAGTTGCACAGCCAACGTCGAAACAGAGAATAGGAAAATGAAAATGTTCAAGATTTGCTCATCAACAACCCTTTAAAGTACCATTCTAAATCAATGTGACTAGAGCCAATCAAGAATACTAGTATTTTCCTACAAAGCAGCCCATTAACATTCTAAAACTTCTCCTCCTAGGCTAAAATTTTTAGATTAGCTATCTAATAAAGCAAGAAATGAAAGAACAAAAAAGAATTGTGACTTGCATATATAGAATCAATGCAGGCATTTACCAGAAACCATAAAAATGAAGAGAATCCAATAAAATTTATGTCAAGAATCATGAATGACATAACACAACATTTTTTTTCCTACCCAAGGAAGAAATTTTCACGTTCAAAAGACAATGGTGCCCCAAGAAAAATAAAGTTAAAAACCAACAATGAGTTTTCACATAAGATTCAAGTTCAAGAATGGAGTAAAGTAATCTAGTAGTTACATAATCTGGTTATGGAGAAAAGTAGAAGAGAAATTTTTGGATGGAAGTTCTAGATTATTTTCCATTCAAGAACCAAAGAAGAAAATGAAGTGACGAGCAAATATGAAAAAAATACGAGAACCAGTTATCATAGAAGAAGTTGAGCAAGGAAAGTAAAAGAAAGAAAGGAGAGATTACCCAGTTTTCCATCTCCAGGAAAAAGCTCTGTTGCGGTTGTGGTTGGAAATGTAAGGAGAAAGGAAATGGTGTACTTTGCATGAAATGAGAAGTAGCTAAGGGAAAAACCGTTTTTAAGGATACCCCAATACCGCTAAGTTCAACGAATTGCCATTTAACTATAGTAATTAAAAAAAAAACACATTAGAAGAGCAATATAGTATTTTTTTCAAGGAAAAACTTAAAAACATAAAACATTATGCATGGATATGTTACTATTGAATTTGGTCATGGGAGTTATACATGTTTTTGCAGTTTCTAGAAGTTAAAAATTGAATTTAGAAGGATTCATGAAATTGAATTGTAGACAATGCATTTTTTGTAGTCAAGAAATTCTATAGAGTGTTGAATTTTTAATTTTAATAATCAAAGTTTAATTATGATAATTTTAATATTCAAATATTAAAGAGAAAATTCAATATTTGCAAATCTCAAACAATTCAAATTACACATAATTTCCAATTAAGGTGATGGTCTCTTTAATTTCATGTCCATGTTTTCTCGTGTCAAGTAAACTTCAGGTGAATTTTAGAGTGCTTTCCATTTCTATTTAAATTTGATTTAATTCCTTTCCAGTTTCCACCATACATATACCAGATTCAATTTTCTAACAGTAACGCAAGTGATAATGTGGTGTCTAGACTTCCACAGCAATTGTGAAACATAAATCTGGGTTAAACCTTAACCCATGTGTCATATAGCTTACTGAAGAACAACCTATTCTAATGTCAAGCGGTTAAGCTCCATGAATGTAACTCACTTAAACGTCATTAAAATAAAAATTAAGATGCAAAAAGGACGTGCAGTAGACCCAATAAGACCATTTCAAGATTCTCATATGGATCCTATACTAAACCCCAAAGAGAGAATCTATAATCCAACCTTGGTTAAGGATATACCCTTCAAAGTTCAAACCCATTATTTTAAGTTTTTTTTTTTTTTTTAAATACAGTAATCCTGGATGAATTACTAAAAAGTATGCAATGAGGTAACCATCTTTTCTAATTTTATCAAGGCAATATCCTGCATCTTCTGGTTGGCAAAGAGTGCCAATTGTAAGCCTCTTTGGGGTGAACCAGTTTCCCAGAGTTCAAAGCCAACTATGAGATTCGGTCTACACGCAACATTGCCAGTTACAGGCTTGAAGCTGCTTATTCCTTGCCAAAACATAAAGCGTTTTTTTCCCAAGGAAAAGAACAAACAAGCATGACGCTTTTATTCTTATGAAAAAAGAAAGTAGTAAGATGATCCGCACAAAGAAGCATGAGACATCCAATTGCTACGAATTTGTCATTGACAAGTTAGGCATCTTCTTATCAATAACAAGGAGAAATAGTAATAGCATCCAAGGACAGAAATGAATATGAGAATAAATTAATCAAAAAAAATAAATAAATAAAACTGAGGATGGAGCTCTATATAGGTCTCAGTTTTTGCAAATGAATCATCAGTACATGAAATATGAAGTTTTCGCTTCAGCTCCCATGCTGCTCATGCTTCTGCTTCACCAAGAGCAAGAAGAGCAAACAAAAGGAGAAGGAAAAGAAGAGCGACTAATGAGGGCATCTCTGATGTGATTCCATGGAAAGAGAAGGAAGAACCATGATTTGCTCATGCTTCCCTAGTTCCCTTCAACCTTTTCTTCCCATTTCCTCTGTAGGGATGCATCTCATATTGTATCCTCTTATCATCCACCCCTCCTTTGTCAATGACATCTTCTCTTGTAATGCCATTTAAATGTTAATGAAAATGAAAATCATTCTGTTTAATTGCTTCTTATTGTTTATCTCTGACGATCATTTGGTATCAAGTCCATCTCTTGCATTTGACATTCAACGGAAACCAAACCAGTCTGTCAAGAAACCTGCATAAGAAATGCAATCAACCTAATTCAGGGTGTCAGTAAAATAACAATTTCCAACTAGAGAAGATAAGAGATTCAATTTTGTAGCTCCAAATCATGTTCCAATAACAAAGGCCAAACTCCTATGCATCCAATGACTTGCTTGCATAGAGATCGTCATAAGAAAAACCAATCATCCTTGCCTTCTCTTCCCCACCTTGTAAATGCATATTGAATTTGGCCTTTGCATAGAGATCATCATAAGAAAAACCAATCACCTTAGGTTCAAACAGGATGAATATTGTAGCTTGCATAGAGATCATTATAAGAAAAACCAAAGCATCCATACAGCAATTGACATTTTAGAAGACGATTTAAACAGAATTCAGTGCTCCCAACTTAATTACCCTTGCTATCTAAACCATTCTAGAATGCTATGTGTCATAAAGCAGGCAGTGATGCTGATGCAAGCAATTGCAGGTGTATAATCCTAACTGCTAAGTGTTACCCAATGTCAGAGCATATATTACAAGAGCATGCCTTACTGGCTTCAACTACAGAGGACATTATAAATGCTGTAAGCTATAATATTCATCCTTTTTGTGACAAAACACCAAAAGTTTCACTAAGGTGACATCGTTAATATTGCAGAAGCTAGGTTACAAAACCAGTTCCTCTTAAGAGCACAAAAGGAAAACAATTAAAAGAAGAAAAAAAAGTCAGAAAAGCCTGCCTCTGTTTCTCTAGGTATTCAAGTGCTAAAATGCCAAACCATTGAAGTCTGAGGGAATCATGATAATGATGATACAAACACCTTTGACAATCCAACATAGCTTAATAAGTATACACTGGTCCAATGAGAACATTCAAGCAATAGATAATGCATATATGCAGCCAGCTCAAGATGAAACAATACACATATTAGCAAGGTTTTCTAATGATTATACACAATCCCATAGTTTTCATTAAATAAACGATCAAAACAATAATAACACAAAGCAACCCAAAATCAATGAAGTTAGAAAACAAAAATGCATGTTCAACTAAACAAAAAAAATGAAAATATGGGGATTTAGCATAAAATTAAGAAATAGTACCAGTTAAGAAGGAAGATGAGCGTGATGGTGATGAGAACAAGGAAAGGAACATGAAGCATCAAGGAAGAGTCACTAGACGAGAATGCTAAACCCAACATAACAGCAAGGCAAAGACCCACCATTAAAAATGTTGATTTCAGTGTATTCCATGTGGGACCCTGAAACCAAACAAACAAAAAATCCAAACCTTTTATTAGTAACTACATGAATATACCTGCAAATATATATATATATACATGTACATGTACACAGAAAAATAAAAGCAGAAACTTTGAGAAGGAAATTGAACCAACGTTGACACCAGGAGCTAAACCTCCATGTAAAACTGCTTTGGCTGATGATAAATCGCCTCCTGCTTACTGTTTCCCTTCCATTTGAGTTTAGTCTAGTGTATCTTTAGATATTGAGTTAGAGACTCAGGCAGCAAAAGTCACCGAATGCCTTTAGGCCTACATTAGTACTTGTTTTTACGTTTTTGTCGTCCAGTGGCTGGGATGTTTGCCTTTCACCCAGTGGACCTGGATTCAATCCCCGGCAACAGAAATGTTATTATTTTTTTTAAATCAATGTTATTCATGCAATGTGCATTTTTTTATTTTAAAAATCAATGTTATTCATGCTTATTCATGCAGTGTAGCATAAGAAAAGGTAATTGCCATTTTCAGCTTGAGTTGAGTTGAGCCACCTCATTAGATGGGGATTCTGGATTTTTTCTTTGACTACAAATGACATCCGGCAAAGTATATTTGGAGGAAAAAATATTTCTGGTCAATGAGAGAACATTATATTTATATTATATTGTATTATATATAACAATCCTAAATCTGTAACATTGTGGAGAGAAACTGGACATTTCTTCACACTCAAACACCTCTTTGCAGACAAGGCATCTGGCTGAAACATACATATTGTCAACTTCTTTAGATATGTACATCCATGCACAATTATAAACTTGTTTAAACTGACACCTAAGTCCTAGGGGAAATGTTGTATTTTGGTCCAAAGACAGCTTTTATCAACAGTTTGAGTTGCAACTTTTAATTTCCCATGTAAGTAGGACTTCTCAGGGTTGGATCCTGCTGGAGTAGCCATTCTTTCTCCTTTAGATACTGCAAGAGTGGCTGTGGTTCGTCCCTAAGTTCAGTCATGGCACCACAGCCGTAAGGGCTTGGTCTTTGATAACCAGGAAACAGCTTTTCTCTTCTTGGTTCCTCCATGCCGTAAACAAGGGGAAATCCTGAAGGCAATATTGAACTCTCTGTAAACATTGTTGGATTTGAAACAGGAGGAACTCCATATTGATCAAAAAGACCATAGCGGGAAGCATCAGGAGTTGGAAAGTTCCTGGAGTTCCCGGGAGCATAATAGTTGATAGGCAGTGCATGCCCATTTCCTTGATCAAGATTGCAACTTTCTCTGTATTTACGAAGCCACTCAGAAGAAGTCATCCCGCTAAATGGAGGGTATTTATCCATGAAACCTGGAATAGCAGAACCATAATTAAGTTGGCCATAAGGAGACCAATTGGGGTAGCCACTTATCCTTGATGCATCATAGAAATTCTCTGGTTTATTACTGTACCCTGAGCCCTTCACCTCAGAAAAACTAGATTGAGTACCATGAAACCAAGCAGCAGCATCTTCAGGCAGAAAAGGGGCAGAAGGAGCAGGAGCTGAATATGGAGTAGGTGAGTAATGGTTGGTTGAAACTTCAGATCTTGAAGAAGTGGCAGAATCCTCGGTTTCATGGATGGAGAGATCATTCATGGATGAAGTAGCTATTTCCTCAATAGGGCTTAAGCCCCGTCTATGAACATCACTTCTCCCCTTTTCAGTAATGCTTAAACTTCCTCTGTCTAAAACCCAAGCACTAAGAGAGGGAGGACCAGCAGAGATGGGGACTTCTGAAAACGAGAATGCTGTAGCCTCTTTTACAAAAGGCTCCTGCTGCTTGAAGGCCTTGCTAAGCTTGAAATTAGAGATGTCAGAATGAAAATCTGAGGTATCACCATGGGCTTGGTTTTGGGCTATAAGTAGTGATGTAGCACGGCGCAAACATTCATCAGAAGGAACTGTTTCCTCCTTTTCGTTTGGCGATGCAGGGTCTTTAGCATTACTAATTATCCCATAGAGCGGGGCTGAATTATATCTTGTAAGAGGCTTGAAGAGAATAACTTCTTCCTCTTCCATGGCAACAGATTTCTCATCCACAGCAATGGTGCTTAGATTTTCACTTGCAATCCGTGTCTCACATTCTTTTGTAGCTTCATAAATATGCCGGTGCAGCCCTTTGACATTTACATCAGAATTGGTGGACTCAACTTTTTCTGATTCTCGCCTCTCAGGCATTAAATTTGCATCTTCAGCATAGAATTTCCTTCCCAAACTATCATAGGTAATCCATTTACGGGAACCATTTGATCTGTTTGCAATCTTCAGTGCAGCATTGATTATACGCTTAAGACGGCATTCAGTCCCACTTTCATAACTGTCTATCTGATCCCAGTTAGTTGAGAAATCTAATGAAACAAGTATTTGAGCTAATGGTGCAAAGCCCCTCAACTCATAGTCTTCCCACAATGCAGCTCTTACATGGGACAAAACTTCAACCCCAATATTGAACTGCTTCAAAAGGTCAATAAAAGCAGTAAAAAAATAAGAAATAGAGCTTTTTGTTTTCTCATCCACCCCATAAGCTTCGACTACATCAAGAATGCTCACCAGCCACTCCACAAAAACAAGAACAGTGGGTAGAAGGGGACAAGAGTCCAAAGGATTTGCCTTCAAACATCTATAAACAAAACGTCCCATGAAAATGAAAGTAGCAGTCAACGCAAATTGTATCAACTCAAGATGTTGCTTATTCTTTCCATCTTTTAACCCTTCCATTTCCGGGCTATTAATTAGATTATGGAAGACAAAGATGAAAATGGAAACAGCTTGAAGAGCACGGAAAGGGCCTGTTCTAGCTGAATCCATAGGTTGATAGGACTCCAAAATGGCTCTTAGTTTTTTATCATCTAAAGCCATCATCATATCCAACACCCTCATGGTAGATGCAAATGCACAAGGGAAGTCCTCCAAACTGCCTCACATCATAAAGAAGCTAAGAACATGAGAACTTAATTAAAAGTGGAATATAAACACCAAAAAGCTTATATCTTATCCTTAAAATATATTACTGATGGCATCCTAGTTAAGGTAAGAGAAGCAGAAGTCATAAGACATAATGACACTTCCCATCTCTGACTTAACTTAGCAACATGAAGCAAGTTGATAAGCTAACTACATTAAGTTGAGTAAAATTTGCAACGTTGTAATTGATAGAAAGAAACCATCAGAAAAAATCTAGCAGTGCTGCTTTATGAGATACCTTATGTTCTAGGGTATGTTCTAGGGTCATCGAATGTACATGTTTGGAACTTGAAAGTTAATTCTTCATACCCTCTATATGCTTATGCACTAAGGTGGATTTATGCACATGAAAAGCACAGACACGATACTGAATGAAACAAACAAGCATATGGAGCCTTTTAAAACATATTTACATCTGAAATGATCTGTTCAATTTATAGTTACAAGGGTTACCTGGATTCTAAGAAGAAGAAACTTAATGTTCTGATAAGAAGTGGCCAGAAGTTTGTTTCTGCAGAGTGATCAAGTTCACCCTTCAAAGGACAGCCATGTGAAATATTCCTACTTGATTGTGATTTGACCCAGGCATCACTTCTTTCAGAAGGTTTTAAGAAATCAAAGTGGACCTCACTTGAAAGAGAATGTAAATGACATGACCTGTTCTGCAAAATCACAACAACATTTGGAAATCAGAAGTAGGTACGAATACCTAGAGGATAAAATTATTTGCAAGGCATAAGCAAACGGTACAAGTGTTACCCTTTCAAATAGTAAAATGAGATTGTTCCAGGCATCAGGGAAAGGTTCTTTTACAGCTAAACTTCTTACACAGTGGTATAGAGCAAGAAACTCATCACCCACATATGTTGCCAACACTGCCAACTAAAAGTGAACATGATAGATTATATACATAGAAATCAGGAATTCAAATGTTACAAATGCAACTGGGTTCTATATAATTGGCACAGATACCTTGTTCATCAAGATATATCAATAGAGAAAATAAGAAAATACATAAAATACCTGATTTTGGGGGTTTCCACTATCTGGCCAAATTATTGCAGCTTCCAAGTAGTAGGTGGCTGCAACTGACCAGTTATGCTTCTGGACACTAGATTTTTCAAATTGTTCCATATATCTAGCAAGATCCCCAAGACAAACTAAAAAGCGATGACATAAAAAGTGACATTTCTGCAATTTCGTTGGTTCAACAGAAGCAATGTTGCCACCCCTTTTAAACAAGGAAGATTCTTCTGGAAGCCCATAATGCCTTCTGACTTTCACAATCAATTTTTTGTAAAATTCAGTAGCTTTTACAAGAAATGACTTAAACCCTTCTATATGTTTGTCATCAGAACCACTTGGGGGCATTGCAGATGTTGTACCTTCTGAATTAGCAGAGCTTCTTTTTATTCTTTTACGAAACTCATCAATGTGCTTATAGTGTAGCTTCCACAGTGAATATTCAACATCTTGAACTTCTGTCAGTTCATGATCATTCAAAATGAAACTCTCATAACTTAAACAGACTTTATGGTATAAATCCCGAACATCAGAGTGCAATAAACCTTTTGAGTGGATTAATGCCCACAACTGCTTTTCTATGCTAGCAATCTGAGACCAACACGATTTCAAGAGTCAAAAACTAATTGAAACAAGGGAGAGACTAATAGGAATAGATGATCATATGAAATTGTAGCTCCAAAGATGTACCTCAAGAAGGAAATTGGCTTTTTCTTTCTGATCTTTCAGGGGAACAACCAAAGTATTATTCATGATTATAGCCAGGATCCTTCTTCAATATATTTTTATCTCATCAACTGGACACACAAATACTTATAGCACATTTGACCTGTCAGTTAATAATGTAGTTCATTAGAAATGAAAAGGAAGAGAAAGAAGGAGAAGATACGATAACAACAACATATGGGCTTCTTTAAAGATAAAATAAAGAATACACATAGGCATCTTTAAAGAGAAAATAAAGAATACAAACTTACATTTTTTATGATATCACCAAAATTTGCATGTAAACTTTAATTATTAGTCCAAACAGGGAGTATGATAATGTATAATTCAAGCTTTGGGAGTCTAGACCGTAATTTTGCAAATATTTAACTAGCATGATCAGTTCTAAATTCCAAACTAGGTTAATACCAGCAAAATGTCTGCTGAAAACTAGATCCGAAAGAATAAGAAGAATGTGGACCTCCAGTAATCTCTATTGCTTGAATGGAACTCAAAACAATAAGGTTTTTAGATTTCACTCCAATCCATGAATCATTTTCCAAATTGTTGTTTATGAAACCCCACACAGAGGTTTTTATTTCTCAAATTCATCCACCAAGCATATCTCAAATCCATAGATACATTGAACCTTTCCCAATTTCAGTACATTTTCTAAATCCATCCTACTACTCATAAGTCATAACAAATCAAATTCACATCTGGAATCACAAATTCTTCTCCCCAAATGAGCCATAAATGGCGCGAAACAACTCTTTGGGATAATGCTTCTTACAGTGGAAAACTTTCTATTTGTAAAATATTGGACTCCTTAGACTAAGAGACCTTCCAAGATTTGAAGTTACTGGGACTTTGAGAGCATATTCTTCTTTTCGGAAATGCTAATATACCTGTCAGAAAGTAAACTGATGTTGAAAGAAATTATTTGCCTCTTTGCCCCCTCATATGTTCAACTACAAACTCACTTACTTGAAATGCAAATAAAGGACTTCATCTACAAAACCATCAAAGTTTCCTTGACATGCATGAGAGAAGACTTCAGATTCAAATAGTACTTCGAGTGAATTTGACACTTCAAGCAGAAATTTGAGAAAAAAATCATCCTAATAGAATGATCTTGGTTCCACAAAAGAATACCACATCCAAAAGCACTAATGCCTCTAAAATTCAACCAAGTTTCCCAGTCACTATCATCAGTGGGGAAAAAAAAAGAAAGAAAGAAAAAGGCAACAATTAACTTGTTTCAACGTGATTATGAATCCAGAAAATTACCATCATCATCACCATGAAAAAAGTATTATAGGTTCTGAAGTGAGAATTGCCCAATAAATGCCCCGAGGTTTTCAACTTTATAAGCAATTATTCTATTAAGCATAAAACTTCTTGTTTACTGGCCATACGGATAGAAAACAATTAACTACAAGAGAATTTACAGAAATTGCTTAAAAATTTAAGAAGAAAAACCCACATGAAATGAAATTGAGAAACTTCACATCTGCAGAGAGAGCAAAGTCACACCTTTACCGTACAAAACATGAAGTATTAGCAGAAAACAAGAAGGGGAGCAAGACCAGCAACAGTACAAGAAACCACATCAAAGTACGCAACCAAGAGATAATCAAAGCAAAAGAGCTGAGATCTTTTTTAAGGACTAGAAACCTAAGAATACCATACCTGGAAATGAGAAACCAGAACCAGGAAACCAAAAAAAAAAAAAAAGACAGACAGACAAAAGAAAAAAGCATCAACAACAAAACCCCATGAAAGATAGTAACTTACTGCCAATTTTTGGAGAAGAAACTATGAACAAACTAACCAAACAAAAGTACCCATATGGAAGGCAAAGCAAAAGACAGAGAGAGAGAGAGAGAGAGTTGCGGGGACTGGCAGATGAAAGAAGAGATTTAGCCACTGTAATGCCCAGTTGTGAAACAGACAAAGTAAAAGGTGGCTGATGATGAGACTCAGGGAAAGACCACTCTAACCCCAACATTTATGTTTATTGGTTTTTTTAGATAAAAATTTCGTTGGTTTTTTTTTTTTTTTAACATTTCAATTCTCACTAGGAGTAACCGGTCATAGAATAAAAAACCTTTAGAGATAGGAATAAAAAAAAAGTGATTCATACCATCATTATCGATTTTTATTGATTAAATGGAGTATCCCTTGCAATCCAAGCTAACTCCATCTTTTTTCTTGTCTCAGAATTTCCGTTAGACTTTATAAGAATAACAGCATCATCATAATTTCAGTAGATGATTATTGCAAGGTTTATCCCATTACTAGATTGATTAGATTAAGCCTTGGATTAGCATTTGTTTGGTGCTTTTTTTCCTTAAATTAATGATATGGGGCAGTAGCCGCACAACTGCTCATGGTGAAGTGGCTGGTGGGTGGTTGGGGGGTCTCTCGTGTAACTTTCAAATGCAAACAAAGTCGCTGAATGTGACGTTCCTTCGGACAAATATGAATAAATCCTTACAAAAGAAAAAACCAATCTTCAACTAGCCCATTGAGAAATATGCCAACTCAGGTATGAACAAAAATAAATTTGGAAAAAAGCATAAATATAAATTTTGACAAAGAGGACATCACCTTTGACAAAATATTATCCCCAAACAAAAATGCAGAGATTCTAAAGTTTTTCCACAGGAGAGACAATTCCTTGAAAAGTCAAATTTGATAGCCTAATGTATTAATTAACAGTTTTAGAAGAACTGGGGCTTTGTTTTATGGGCAGGTGGGGTTGGGTTTGCCTGCATCAGTCATGGCTGTGAAACCAATAGCAGTATAAAATAAATGTGCTTTAAATGGTTGGTCAAGGTCTACTCTGCAATGTTCAAATCTTCGTGAATAAAGAAGAAGCTTCCTCCTATGTGAATGTCGTGCACGCGTTGGTCTTCTGCAGGCTCATATGTCGTGCTGACATGACATGACCAATGACCAAATTATGCCATTGATCATCTCCATGGAAATATCTTAACCGTTCGATTAATTAAAAGTATTCAAACAACTCTCATGGTGAAACTTGCGATTAAAGATTAAAAAAAAAAGTGCAATGGGTCTAATGATTCACGAATGAACGTCGACTTGGGTTGCTGGTTTGTAAGCTTTCAACCCACATTCAAAATCAAAGCTCATTGATTTATCCATGTCAAGAAAAATCCATTTCCAGTGTGTCTCATCCGTAGTAGGAAAATTAGATTGATTTTGTAAGTCTCCCTTTTGTTTAGGATAAGAAACTGCCAACGAGAAGATTGATTGTGATCTGATGGCGATCAATATAGACGTTTTTGCTAGTAAACGTGTGGACTATATCCATGTTCCTGACTTACAAAACTTCACTATTCCCATTTTACAGATATTTACGTTTCTTATATTACTACTCTTCTGAATTGTTACACATTATTACTTCCCTAACGTGGAAACTAAATTACTCAAGATATTTTTTGAATATACAATGTCAAATTGCTAGGTTTCTTTGACTGATTTGCTTTGAGGTCCCATCTCAATTAATTTCAATTGGAGGAGAAAGATAAGGCTTTGAATTTTGAAATGAAAGATTCTGGGATTGAGCTTTGCGTTGATGCCATAGCTATGAAGCCATTGCAAGCCAACAGATTTTAGGCTATAAGTTTATCGGAGTTTTTGTATTCGTCTGAAAAACAAAAAATTGATACTAAATATTCTGGTAGGAAAAAAAATAGTAAAAATATTTAAAAAATTTAGCTTTACGAAGTGAATAATATTTTTAAAAAATAATTATGTTTTTAAAATATAATAAAATCTCAAATTTTTTAATCAAATATAGTAAAAGTGATTATACTGAGAGATTTGTTAATGATAAACAAATAGATATAAATTTTTATTCAAATAATTTTGATTATGATATTTTATATAATTATAATATTTATAAATAATAATATATTTATATTCAAATAGTTATGATAATTTATCATATAATAATTATTTATGTTCAAATATAATTATTTAAAATATGAATAAAATTATTATAAAAATTAATTTTATTCATCAATAATTTAATCTTTTTATCTAATATGAAATACACTACATTCTAAATTACCAACAATCTCTCACTAATTTAGAATGTTGGTGCTTAATCTTTAACTTTTTACACAAATAAATATTTTAAATACAAAAATATATCTTTCGATTTAAACATTCAATTAGCGTATATATATTAGAATTTTAACGAAATTAATGATGTCCGCAGATTAAACCTCAACTTTTAGTATTATAATTGAAAATATAACACACATAATATTTATTTATTCTTCTATCGGAAGCAAGGATTTAAATAGCAGTCGCGGTCACGTTTTTAGTAACGTTGTATTTATCACGTTTTCGAATATAACGAAGATCATTGAGCTCATCACATTCGTAGTCGTGAATTTTTTTTTTAATTTTACACAATTTGTTATGAAAATATAATAATTATGATTATAATAATAAAATTCTTATTTAATTATTTTAAAAATAGTTTATGATACTTTATGTTTTTTATTTTCTAAAAAAATTATTCATAATTTTATTTAAATTATAATAAAGCATTTATATTTAGCTTAGCAACAAAATTTTTACTTGAGCTAACTTCATAATCAATATTAATTTAGACAAATCAAATATTAACAAAATATAATATGTTAAATACCAAGCATCTATATTTAATAAAATTACAAACATAAAAATATAATAATTTCAAATTTCATCAACTATAATTATTGATTTCAAAATTTATCACATGATAGAATGATGAAAATGATAAAATTTTTTATCTTCACTTTGAACCAAGTTAACTCCATCCTTATCCATATGGCATTTGTTTTTTATACATTTAAGATGGATGTTATATTTGAGGATGATACATTTATGGTAAATAATACATTTGAAGTGGAGAATTAAAGATGGTAGCCCAACCCGTCTTCGGCGTATTTTAACCTTACTTGACCTTTTAAGGTTAATTTTTTTTTTTTGAAAAATCAAGTTTCAGGTCGGATCAAGTCGAGTAATAGTAAAATAAAGTCTGAGTCTAGTTTTAGGCAAACCTACCATGCTCCAAGCCTATATATATATAAAATTATTTGTTAATTATTTATTTAATTTTATATTTACATTAGAAAATAATATTTTATATTTTAAAAATAACATTTTTTAATTTCGAATCAAGTTTAGTTTTATATAATATCGGGTCGAGTTCAGGTATAAAAAATAAAAAAAATATCAGGTTAGGTTCAGGGTAAGCAAATACCCACTCCGACCTAACTCGTTGCCATCTTTATAGAAGATATGTTTGTGGTGGATGATAACCATATAAATGTGGCTAACTGTGAAAATGTTGAAAATTAAGTTGTTTTGGTGGATAGTAACGTCATTGAGTACTAGTAGATGATTCACTATATTTAAAGTTACTAAAATTTAGTCTCTTACCAAAAGATAAAGAATCTCTAGAAATATCATAGTAGTGCTTCTTGGCTTTCCTTTTGATCAAGCTGTATGTGCACATTGACCCCATTAGATTCAGTTTATGGATTTACTCTGCATTCTACCATGTTAATAAAAAGTCCACCAATAGCAGTAAGCCTAAGTTCTCTTTCGAGTGGGCTGTAAGATCGATTTGCATCCATATTACCATCAAAATTCGAACCATCACTATTATCATCATTTTGACTTAAACCCTATCATCATCACTCTAACTTGGTGTTAAACTTGAATTTGAATGAGATACATTTCTTTCTTGAGATTGGTATCACTGTTCAACATTCATTTCATTATCAAAATTATCTGTAGGCAACAAATAAGAGTTTTAACCGTTTAACAAAAGATATTCTTTCTCTTGCAACCATTTTGTTAGTGGATCATCATCTTAAAAAATATGATCAAGGCTAATAGAACTAAAACTTTTATTTATCTCGTCAATACTTATTTTTTTCTACTGTCTCATCCTTAGTCTCATGTTGTAATAGGTATACACAAGTTTCTAAAGTCTTTCAAACTTCAATCTATTTCTTGCTTTGGTGTGAATATAGTTAAATGTGCTTCAATTATGTTCATAATTTAATGTAGATATTGTTTGATTAAGCGCTTTGATTGTTAATTTTTATAATTAAGAAACATAAGTACCATATATCATCCACTATTCAGCTGTACAAAATTATTTAAATTAAATTTGAATGTGTTATACAATTAAATAACATAAATAAATTATAATTATTTAATTTACTATTTACTTAGATTCATTTGCGTCCAAACTTTTAGTGCCTGTGGAATACTAAATGTTTCATACTTATTCGAAATAATAGCAACTACATCGATTGAAAATATAATAATAAATGAATAAATAACAAAATGATTCTATTTTTAATACATAAAATAAATATAAAAGTTATAAACTTGATTAATCATTTTTAGTTGAGTATCTATAAAAATATTTTTTTAAATA